AATACCATCTTGGCCAAACACAACATCCCTCCTAAAAGTCGGGCAATCTGATCTGAATAAGATTACACTATCGAGGTGGCGAAGCAATGCAGCTAACGTTTGATAGGCGTTTGCGTCACTTCCGTCAGCCTTTTCGACCGAAGTCATGTTACAACCGAAATCCGTGGAGTACATATAGATATACGTGCATTGCACATACATGCTTTGTACATTAGCAGATGTAGATTCCCGCTTGGCTCCCCATCTTTTCTCTCTACATACATACTTCTTAAATTAGAGTCTTATTCAGCAGGCTTTGCGTGTATCAACTTAAAACAGCACAGATGTTCGTATACAGCCTCACAACTTAAGCGACTCAGCGAATCAAGTATCGAACTTAAACGCCTGACAACAAATAAGATCAGAAGTTCATCTTTGTAACTATTAGATACGTAAAAATGTTTAAAATAAGGCTGCCAGTTCAATACCCATACGTGGATGCATTTTGTTTGTGGGGTATTAATACCCCTATTCCAACTTGGCGAGCGTAGGTAGACGATACACTACCATGTGTATCACTTCTCACGCCTTGGCAGCCTTAAATCGTTGTGTGCATGTTTGTCAATTTTGTCAGGAAGAGATTGTGAAGGGCATTAAGGGATTGGGCCTCTTGCCCTGTTACCCCTGATGCGCCGGCTGGTGTGCTAACAGACACAATAAAGGCTGGCAATCTTGGAACTGCAACAGGCGGAACCGAACCCGAACCCCGCTAAGCGTAAATCCAAGCGTAAATCCGGTGGATCTCTCCTTACCCCGAACCAGTTTCCCTTTTTTAGCTACCTGTTACCGTACATTGGGACTGTCCAGTAAAGATACCTAATTAGGTTAGTTGCCAGGAGGTTCCAAGATTCAAGCTGCCTAGGCATCACAGGTACCTAAGTACCACATGCATTATCCTGGTTAAAAGGGTTCAATGTTGTTCCGTTGTCTTCTAGTACCTGCCCGAGGTCAACTTTCAAGTCAGGTTAGGTTATATGTACCTAAGTCAGGTAGACACGTCTACGAACGGCCCCACATCAAATTAATCTTTACGACGCGTTTCTCTCAAGCGTCCCGCCAAGCATCAAACTAGAGCTGAATGAGTACCTATGACTTTGTAACTACTATATGCCCATGTTGCTTCTAACAGTATCGATGAAATCCATCGTAAGCTTGTCGTACCAACATATTTGCATATAGTATGTCGATGTCCCGGAACCGGGATATTAGAGGCTTCTTCGGCAAAGGTGCCAGCCGTAGCAACTCTGAATCCAAGCCGGCCTCCTCGTTAGAGCCGGTCCGGGATCTGCAATCCTCATGTTCATCCTCTAGGACACCGCCGAAATCCACTCTGAAGCTACGTGATCGGACCGATGAAATTAAAGGGTCTGACGATGAGGACGGCGACTCGGACGACTCATTAGAGTCCATATCTGCATTCATCCAACGGAAAAAGGGTCCTACGCCTTATGAAAGAGACCCGAATCTAACCTCCACGCCTAGGGCGAAGAGAATAGCCCCTAACCCATCCTCTCTACTTAAATCACCATTAACGATACAGCCTAAACATAAATTTGACCTCAAGTATTTAATCAACCATGCTCGCCAGTCCGACAGGGCAGATGAGAGTGCCAGGAGAGCAGATGAGCTCATCAACCAGAGCGAAGAAGATGATGAGAATGGTCAAATTTTAACAGAAGTGCAAAATGACCCAACGCTGTTGCAAAAGACAGCTAAGGAACTTCTTGAGGATGACGTGGAGGACGCCAAAGGCGACAAGTTGATGAGGGCTATGAACCGTACTAAAGTCGACGGGTCTCACAGACTATACTATTTCTTTAGCCTCGAACAACCCCTATTCAAACCTCCTAGGAGTCTATTCCCACAAAAGGCGGCAAAGGGGTGTTGGGGATGTCTCGCTAACTCGCGAGCGCGAGATCAAGCCGTCATTCTCGGCTTACCCCATACTATTGCCTCCAAGGGTAGGACACTCCCAGATGAGCTTTTCTTATGGATCCTCGACGAGGTCTGCGCTGAGAGGAACGCCCAGCTGCGCATACAGTACTGCAATCTGGCGGCTTTGTGTCCTGATAGCATCAAACGTCTCGTCACTGAGAAGCGACTATACTCTATGCTCGAAAGGTTAGGTGGGCCGAAGTACTCTCGCAGCCAAAATAACTCTAAGCTTGAGAGTTTTCCCAGAGTGGAAGATCCGTATCCTCGAAAAGACTGGTCAGGTCTAGTGACTTTCCTCGAACTATTAGAGCGCATGGCCCCAAACTTGAGCACGCAAAATGCAATAGGGGCTATTAAACTACTACTACGGATGGGACTCGATCCCCTTGTGAGTACGACGGTTCGTTCTGAGCATGCTGCAGCGATGGAAGCTCTCGTCACTGCATTGTCGAAGTTGAGTACATCCCAATGGAATGAAACTGTAAGTCTTAGCCCCTTTTTCTATTCGTCTGAGACCAATAAGACTAACATCTACCAAGTGCGAGACAATATCTTCTTATCTCTACGAGAGTGTAGAGGAACCCATGCATCAGGCCGTCCCTATCAGCCATATGCCTAAAACTACCGCCAAGCTCCTCGACCTATGCCGGCGCATGGCGGCCGTGGTGCTCTTCAGGGACCAAGGGCTGAGTAGTAAACCAGTTGACGAAAGTTTAGCGCTTGCCCATGTCATGGATCGGCTTGACTCGAGCGATTTCCGTGTCGGGGCATCCACCAACTTCGAGGACTTACGGGCGCTAATAGCGCTTCTGGACATCGTCATCGGCAACGCAGGCTTTATCATGCAGCAATACTCGGGAAGTAGCACGGAGGACGCGGCTCGCAAGTTCGACGCCGATATCGACGTCCTCACGTTTAGGCTTAAAGTGATACATGATAAGATTCACGACAGCACTCTACTCTCCCGCAAGGTCGCCAAGGCGTCCATCGACTTGGTAGCCAAACGATTAGCATACGCGGTGCGCACGCGGCCGCCACCCAAGACAAGCATCTTCGACTCAGAGCCCAGAGAGGACGCCAATATACCCAAACAGCGGGCATTCATGAAGAACTGGGCGCAGAAGAAGGCGGAGCGGAACAATGCTGCCGCTGCGGTTAGCTAATAAGAATGAGGAAACAGATGATAGTATGGCACGAGTGTTGTACGACTAGCTATTGGTAATATAGAGGGTAAATTGGTGTTTTATTGATGCTGACATTCCTGCAACGCCTTATGATATACAGCAAGCAGACTTCTAGTGAGCACCATCAATAAATAATAGCACGGCTCTAGATTCCGTGCCCAAACGCGACTGACTACCCCTTATAAGAGACCCCTAGGCAGGGAGAATAGTGTGACGCTACCTAAGCATAATATTCTGCCCGCCCCCTTCTCCGCTTTGCCGACGTCCAGCGTTATTGACATGTGTTTGTGTTAGCGCTCGTGAGTGAAGTTGAACCTTGACGTAAGGTTCTCTATTTAATCGTAGAACTTGCGGTTGGGGTTCTTGCCGAAGAGCGCCTCTCGCATGGCGGGGAGAGCGCTGGTTTGTAGGAGTAGTAGTCTCTGGTCGAAGGTGTTGTTGATCTCGATCTTGCCTTGGCCACCTACAATAAATAGTCCACCAGAGCTATATGTGATATTCGTCGTCAGCATACCATTTCATCTTACGCTAGTTTTACCGAACCCTCCTCTGATTCGGAGACAGTGACAGCATAACTCACCTTCCCTCGGGTAACGCGTTATCCTCGTCGATCGTGACCTTGGTCTCCTTGTCCGTATTGCTCTTGTACTCGCCCTCGGCGTCTTTGATAGCATCTTTCAGGATGTCGTAGTCGGCCTTTCTGGCGCGGACCTGGACCTCGGGCTCGGACAGGGCGTAGAGGCCCTCGAGGAGTAGATTCTTGAGGATGGGGCGGTACTTGGCGGTGTCTTTCGTGCCCTCGTCGAGACGTTTGGAGGCGGCGGTGAAGATGTCGTCGAGGAGCTGCTGGCGGGCGGCGAGGACCTTGAGACGGGTCTTGTTGGCGACGGTGGAGCGGGTGATCTGCTGGGACATGGCGGCTTGCTTGAGGCGCTTGGCGTGGGCGGCGTCGATGGCGTCGGTTTCCTGGCGCACTAGCTTGGACTTCTCGATGCTGAATTCCTCGTTTGCCTTGATCTCGATCTCGCGCGCCTTCTCGAGGGCCTCCTGCTTGATGAAGGCCGTCATCTTGCGGAGCTCCTGCCCGACCTGTTTCGTGAGGGGACATTCTTCATTAGTATATCATTGCTATTAACTATGATCCGACAATAATCATATTGGAATATTCTTCCATAACTTGAAATTCCGGCGTCGTATCCAGTTACTCATGCTTGCGGGCGAGGAAATTATTTACCTGGTCGTCGGACAAGGCGTGGACTTGCGACATCTTGGAGGGAGTATGAGGAGGAGACTTGGTGTTTGGGGGTTGGAGAGGAGCGAGGCTGGAGAATATCTCAGCTGGACGGACGTCTGAGAAATCTATAAGATTGGAGGTATGTTCAAGTAAGCTCGAGTTTGAATATGGTTGTCGGATGGCACAATACGTAGTAGGTTGATTGGAGATAGCGGGTCGGTTACAATAGCTCTCCTGCAGCAACGTTGAATGAATCAATTGATAGAACCTTGGTCCGGTGACATATGAATGTTATGGATGTTATGTAAAGCTCACCCTTGAGCTACATAATGCATGTACATAGTACATAGTACCTTCCAAAGTTGTTATGTACAATTCCATATCTCCATCCATCAAGCAGCATCAGCCACACCTTCAATTGAGATGAACCATGGAAGGGAGTAGTTCCCTGTGGCTAGGGTACCTGTTAGAGGTAACTAAACCCGCTGCAACCCCACTGTAGCACCACAATGCAGAACCTGGAGTCTGGTGGCCCCTGCAGAATGACTCGTGTCTATCACTGATGTCTGGCCAATGACCACTGGCATTTGATGCGGTCGACTGGAGGTATTTTATTCATCGATACGTTGTCGCTGCATGTATAATAAGACTAAACCATACTGGCATTGTAGGACAGATCAAGACAAGTCAAAATTGGGAAAATTGTCAAAATTGTAAAGAGATCTTCAAGGTTTCGCTGTCACTTCCCCAACAACCGTCGGATCAAATTGAATCATCACCCCCAATTCCCCATTACCTCATACCCCTTAGAATAGAGTTTGGTTAGGTACTTTCCCATTTTCCACCAAAGTCTCTTTTTTCGCAGCATTTGATACTAGGTACACTTTTGTCTTCTAGGTCAAGTATCACGCATAATATCTTGTTCACTTCACCATATCATCGTAATCATCCATATCGTATTATACCCGTTTTCTCTTTGTCCCATTTCACTGTTGAGAGGGACAGAGAGAGAGAGAAAGTACTAATTGCCAACTCAACAAGAAATACCCCTGCTCTTGCACTCGGACAGCGTCAACGAGTTCACCGCATCGCCAATTTGGTCTCGAACCCTGCGACTTATTAGATACGTGTCGAACGTTACATCTTACGACTACATCCGTTGATTTCGTTCTCTTGTTAGTCGCGCAGCACCTGGGTATCGATTTACGCCTATTTTGTCGCAACTACGGATTGAACGTGACAGGTTAAAGTCCTTCGAGAGTACAGTCCCATGGGCAACCGAGGTGTTCTTTCATCTGGCGTGTATCGCAGATGACCTAGAATAAAACTATCATCGCAATGGGGATATTTGGCAACCTCTCTCCCGAAGGCACCATCACAGTAGGTTCTACTGTTCTACTATCTGAGAACTTCCATTGTGCCTTTTCCTTTTACTAATATGTTCCGCCTCCCTTAACAGATTGGTATCCTAGTCGGCTTAATATCCACGAGCGTCCAGTCTCTCGGTCTCACTCTACAGCGAAAGTCGCATATGCTCGAAGATGAAAAGTATCCACTCGAATTTCAGCGACCGGCGTATCGAAGGCGAAGATGGCAGTTGGGGATGGGCATGTTCATCTTTTCCAACATAGTCGGGAGTACGATCCAGATTTCAACTCTACCCTTACCAGTCCTATCAACCCTACAAGCCGCCGGATTGGTCTTCAACTCCGTATGTGCGAGTCTAATATTGGGTGAACCTTTCACGCGATGGTCTTTCTACGGTACCGCACTCGTCACCACCGGGGCGGCCTTAATAGCGATTTTCGGCGCGATACCTTCTCCGGCGCATAGTCTACCAGAGTTACTAGATCTGCTCGGTAGATGGCCTTTTATCCTTTGGATGTCACTCCAGGGTGTACTCGTTATCTCAATGGCAGTGGTTATCGATCTAGTCAACCATCTTAGTAGCCTTGCGCAAAACGCTAGGTTCCGGTTAGCCCGCGGTCTCGTATTTGGATGTATCAGCGGCATCTTATCAGCTCATTCTCTGCTATTCGCCAAGTCTGCTGTCGAGCTTGTTATTAGGACAATTACAGACAGCGACAACCAATTCGTGCATTGGGAGTCATGGATGCTCGTGTTTGGACTAGTTTCTCTGGCATTAAGCCAGTTGTATTATTTGCATCGTGGATTGAAGTTGATATCCACCTCAGTATTATACCCCCTTGTCTTTTGCATTTACAACATCATCGCTATTCTGGACGGTTTAATATACTTTCGACAGACGGATCTCATTACACCTTTACACGGCGGGCTCATTGCTCTGGGCACCGCCATCCTACTCTCCGGCGTTCTAGCGCTGTCATGGCGTCTTAGTGATGAACAGCATCCGCCCGCTGTCGGACAGTCGACCCTGGCACCGGGATTAGGATTACTAGATGACACAGAAGGAGAGGATTCGTCTCCTACGGATACGGACTCGGTGGGCCTAGTTGAAGAAGCTGTGCCGGCTACCTACAACACCTTTGCGCCAGATATAGAGACCACGCCTGTCACGCCAGGTCGCAAACCTTCAAGCCGTTGGCACGAGCGTTCGGAGATATGGGACGAATTGGAAGATCAGGATACACCGAGACCATCCTTCACCAAATCCCGATCGATTGCTGCGCCCGGCAGCGCCATTAGCGAGAATACGCCGTTGATGGGCGATAGGAGGGTAGTATCAGGGGAATCAATAGCTTCCCTAACGACAGCTGAGCCTAGCGGGGAATCCCCGAGGAGAATTTTTCGGCGCCGGAGAAAATCGACAGGATTCCCAGGTTTTACGGCGCGCAAGCATATGCGGCGGAAGAGTTCGGCAGGTGCTGGGGTTCAAGATGCCCTGGGCGGAATTTGGAAGCTGAGGTGGTGGCGCGGGAAACGTGATAACGGCTCAGATGTGGCAGTAGCCAGCTCGCCAGGAGGCGAAAGTGAAAGGGGGCAGTATCACGATGAGCTAGAGGATGACAGCGAGAGAAGGTATCCTAATCAAAGGTCACGACCGAGAAGTCCTAGAGGCGACGATGCTGTTTAATTAAGAGCTCTAACGGCTAGACTATACATCCATTTAAGATGGGACGCGCAAATGATACACATAGGCAGGATAGCCTTAGCAATTTTTTTGACACAAATAAGAATTATTAAGCCTATCTCACAAGGTTGAAGTTTGATACTTTGCGCTTCATGCTTAGTCCAGTGAATCTACTTGCTTTTAAACCTTCTATTGACGATCTCTCCCGGTAGTGACTATTTGACTAACTTTGCTGGCTGACTTGCTAATTGATACGGAAACAAGTAGTATATGAATGGCATTAAGATGGTGTCAGCCCCCTCTAGGCATTTTAGTTACATCATGTAAAAAAGCTGTCTCACATATAGAGGTATATTTAGCTCACGGTACACACGGTATATATAGTGCCTCACATGATGCATCGATTCCAGCCCAAAGACGCAAGGCACGAGATAGCCACTCGTATAATTTCCCCAGGAACAAACACTGTTCAGTATGTTTGTATGAGGCTTGCTGGTAATAGGTGAATTTTCGTATTCGTTTAACTTCAAGACCTGGTAACGCAGGCGAAGGGAAGATGGCTAGAAACTGGAATGTCTCACTTTACTTTACACATGAAGCTTGCTTCAACTTATATGAAGCGTAAATTTCACATCACTGCACAACTTAGTCGCAGTATATCGTCGACCAATTGAACTTATCGCGCGTCTAATTGGCTTAAATTAAGAATATTCTGGCCTTCAATACCCGGTCTCCGCGTCTATACTCTACACCCAAACAGCCGCGTATCATTATATTGGCACACGTGAATAATCGCAACAATAGACTAGCCCATCCACTCTCATTTTGCAGTCTCATTTTCCCCGTCCCATTTTCACGTCATCCAAACCAATACCGACATGTTCATAGATCTGATGTCAAGCTGACCAATAAAGCAACGTGAGATGAGATTTTGGATCGCATTTCCTATATCAGGGCGTGAGCTGAGCTTGGCTAACAATAAGGCCTAGGGCCTAGCAAGGCTTTTAACCTTGATTCGGATCTCTTCTAAGCAAGGATGCATGGCGTTAGAATATGGTAGTCTGACAACAGGCGATAACGTAACCAATAGTTCTACTCGCTTGCGGCTCAAGATGGAATATGTGTCGATGATTGCCGCTGGGCGGTCGGTAGGTATATAGCCCAGCGTCAGCAGTTGCGATTATTCATCGCTTTCTTTACATTAGGAGGTATCTATGTTCTAACTTGTGTAGTCATTCAATATTAGTGTGTGTATGAAGTGAGATGCTGCTATGGAGTTTTAGTTATGACGGATGGCCTCATCAACATAATGATTCTCCCCCTTCTTGTTCACTCGGCTCAAGATTTTTTAATATCTATGACCATTTAATTGACTAATTGAATTGTTGTTGTAAGAGTAAAGTCCTTGTGAACCAAAAGGCTCAGGTCCTGTCCATCAACACTCAGCCGCTACAAAAATCAATGCTATAAGGCTATGTAAGTAACGTGATGGCCCGTTCCTACAGGAAGAAATTCAGTCCTACGTGGTGAGCCGTGTAGATCACGCGAGATATCCAATATTGTAGCAAAGTAATATTAAAAGTCCTTGTCCTCGTCGCTGACAGTCAACTATCTCCAATACGTCGTGACTCGGCCTTGGGTAACGTAAGCCGATTACCTTCACAGAAGACTAAGCTCCGGAGACGGCAAGGTCTAGACGGTATAGTCTCTCGGTTTAGAGGTCATCGATGGAAATTATCGGCAATAGAGTTCTGTCGTTAATATTGATCCAGGGGAAAGGCGGGATAAGCTCACTCGCTACCTTTGTCAATAATATTTCCCCTTTTCGTCTTGGTCTACTGCCATACTTGTCGTTCAGTCAGTCAATGAGTAAGCTGGTAAGCTGGCATCTAGTCCTCGAAGAATGGGGTCGAAAGAAAAGAGTCGTACAGATACGGCGATGCGGAAATAGAGAAGCGCATGATCAGTTGGCAAGAGAAGGCTATTAGGTTGTGTATATATACCTTCGTACGAGACACTCTCTCGGTATCTAGACTTCTGTTCACCAGCAGTTCCATCCCAGCCTCAGACCAAGAGCTACATAGAAGCCCATCCTACCTTGCTAACGTTTCCTCATCGTCAATCACCAAAGATATCCCTTCAGTATCTACCAAACCACCACCCAAACCATCAAAATGTCGCCCTTCACCAACGCCCTGCTCCTCCTCGCCGCCGCCGCGAGCCAAGCCCTCGCCTACTCGGGCGACATGACATACTACACACCCGGCCTCGGGGCCTGCGGAAAATATAACTCGGAAGCAGACCACATCGTGGCGCTAGCGCCCGCGCAGTACGGGCACGACGCGAACCCGAACAACGCCAAGGTGTGCGGGCGCAAGATCAACATCCACTACAACGGCAAGACGGCCTCCGCCACCGTCGTCGACAAGTGCCCGTCCTGCGCCTCGGGCTCCATCGACGTCAGCCCCTCCGTCTTCAAGCAGCTGGCTCCCCTGGCCAAGGGCCGCGTCAAGGTTACCTGGGGGTACTCCGGTACCAACTCTGTCCGCGTAGAGGATTTGGGTGCTGGCGAGATCCGGCTCGAGTTGGTTGATGAGGTGAATGAGGAGTATGCGAACTTTGAGGATGCCGATGAGAGCGAGTTGTAAGGATGGAAGGTCTAGAGGTTGGTGACAAGTTAATTAGTTGAGACGTGAATTTGGGGGGGGTGGGTGTTTACAAACGAGATGAGGAAGGGGAAGATTGGCAGGCATTAAAACAAATATCTTTCGTTGATCCTTCATATTATCCTTCATATTCGCTACTAGCTCTGAGTAGGGGGGAGGACTAGGTTGTACATAAATATATACATATACATTGATCCATATATCTATCCAATATCTTTCCGTGAGATTCTAGGAGCAACAACCATACTGCGGTGCTAAGAAGAGCCCGTCGGAAGTCAACGGAGATAGCGAAATGTAATCCGTCTATAAAGGGTATACAGATGCCCAACCAGATCTATGAGAGACGAGAATGTCTTTGAGCTCTAGAGTCTAATACACAGATTGTAGACCTCGAACCTACCTACTGTACTGCAGAACATGCAGAACATGCTGAATTACCATGACGCCTAGTATGCTTCTATAGATAAGGGCCATTGCCGAGAACATAAAATCTCGTGACCTCTTAATAGCACATCGTTCTGGCAGCCTCTTATAACCGCTTCCTTTTCTCAGCCTGATCCTTTTTCATGTTAAGCCGTCTTATCATCTCGCGGTTCCGGGGGTCTAAAAGACCGACGTTTCCCTCATCGTGGAACCAATGATAATCGGGTCCTAAGCTCTTCCTGTCATCGCCCTGCATCTTGACGCGCTGGACCTTTTTGAGCCTGTCTAGACCGTACTTGCACACCCATAGAGATATTACGATGGAAACACCTGTGACCACAGCGAAGCCCCAGTGCGTCTCTTCGATGAAGTTCTCGAGGTTCATACCGTAAAGGCCGGCGATGAACGTGCCCATGGCTAAGCCTAGTGTTCCAACGCTGAACTTTAATTCCAAGAGCATGAGAGAGTTGCGGTTTGCATCTAGAATTGCCCGAACACTATATTGCTGTCAGCTTAATATTATGGGCCTAGCTGGTCGGGTTATTCACTTACATATCTTCGGTATTTCGAATGCCTGACGTCAGGTTTTGTGCTTCCTGTACGATTTCATCACAGATTTTATGATACGACTCTAGCAGCATCTCAACTTCGGTGTGGTCGTCGAGTTCTCGTTGAATGTCGTGTGTTTTCTCAGTAAGATACATCGCAGCTAAATCATCGTCGGCTTCGAGAAGTTCCTCGATAGCCTCACGGACAAGTTTAGCCTTTTGCACGAAAGTGCTCACTCGCTTAGAGAGTACGAGGAGGATGCGCAGCTTGTGCCGATCAATGTCATCCTCAAGCTCACTTAATATACGGATTACCGGGTCACGGACCGCTTCGAAATCAGCTTCTAACTCTTGAGTAACGGACTGAAGGACGGCTTCCAGAGCTCGAAATTCGTAAGGAAGGCCTCCATTCCCAGGAGCCGCCTTCTGCTGGAGCTTTCCCTGCAGGTCATACATGAAAGCCGACTGGGGGTAAGAGGCTTTGGAGCCATATACGTCGAACAGTAAGACGCGATTGTATTTAATGAGAACTTTGAGGTGTAAAAGATTAAGCAGGATAGCAGTCGGTCGAACGAGGATGTGTGGTAGATTGGACGAGTCAATTTTTCGTAGATCTCGAGGCAACAAGCCGAACTATTTCGAATTAGCTAGAGTTAACAGCTATCGGATATTAATAGGATGGACGAACCCTTGCAATTAGCTCGCTCTTCTTAAATTCGCCATCCACCAGTATAACATTTCCGTTCTCATCAACTTCGGTACATCGTAGCATTGGTTCTAAGGCCGCTTTTTGGCTGAGCTGGCGCCTGTTGTTAAACATGGAGCTACCATCAGCGCCTTCTACATCGGGTAGATCGTCTGGCTCTAAAGGTTTGGAATTTTTCGCTCCAAAACCCCAAAGTCTCTCTCGCCAAGAAGGTGGACATGGAGGCGGGGGCGGTCGTTCCGAGGAGCTGTACCGAAGGCCTATATTCGAGCAGAAGTATGGGTGATTCTTTGGGCGAACTGTTCTCGAAGCTCTGTAGCACCGAGTTTGTATGAGCGCATCCAAATCTAACATGCCGGCTTGTAATGGCGCATCCCGAGAGGTCTCTACGGTAGTCCCCAATCGCAATGAACATCTTTGATTCTTCCTAGCTGTGCATAATATCCTGCGCACAGGCTGGCCTAGTCTAACGGCACGGTCATGGTTGGGGCTAAAGAAGCTCAGATTTTCCGATTGTAGGCGAAGAAATCTTAGAAGCCTCAAAGAGGGTACCGGCAGATGCAGCGACGCCATTATGAGGGTCGTCTTACAGCGGAAGAGAGAGGGTTACCAAAGCTGGACCGAGTATCTTGCCATTGTATGTTTATAATACTATATGTGGGATAAAAGAACATATAGATGTGGGTAATTTCTAAAAGTTGGAATACGCCATTCGAAGTTATCGCAGTGTAACTTTTGAATTAGACGCGCGATAAGAATTGATATCTACCTTATCATTAGACCCGCTTAGGCCGCTCAGACTTCGGTCCGCCTAGTATCCCGGCTGATTGGGACTGGTGGGGCTGCATGGGAGTGTGAAATTTACCCGAAGATGTTCCTCATTATTTATGACATCCATGTACCTAGGTACCTACTCACAATTTCACCATCTTCATCCTCATCGTAGGCGCCAATAAGCGGCCGCACTATGGCATACACATAACGTATGTACAATATAATGGAGCTGCTGATTCCTAGCTACATATATAACTCCTTCGTTATAATAAAAAATAACAAGAATAGCTTATTGTGCTATCATTTTGGACCCGACTTAAGATACACCTGTACCTCCAATGTCAACTTTAGTCGAGCCAAATTTTCTGGGGGTTCACCTTATAAATCTTCTCCTCATTAATTAGCCCGAAGTATTCTTAAGTTAACCAATTTATATTATACACATCCTGATCAATGGAATTAACTCCGATCAAAGTCCGCGGTAAACGCCGTCGTGGTATCGAGGCTGCCGTCGCTACCCCTAAGAAGAGATCTAAGGTCGTCGGCAAATCAAAGTTACACAAATCTCGAAGATCTCGTGAATCAAAAGCATCATACCTCGAGAAGATACCGCTAGAAATACTCGAGCGTATTCTATGGTATAGTGAGAACGTCAACTTGCCCCGTTCTAGCCCTCTTATTGGACGCCTCTTGTCAGGGCGTTCTACTCTACGCGAGACTTTCATCGTAGCCTTCCAACCTACCTGGGACTCCTGGTTTGGTTGTATCGGTGATAGAAACGACTCTACTCGCCCTACTGAGGGTAATCCCGACTTCCAGGTAAGTTCAAGCCTATTCCGTCTCCAATTATAATTTGTTAATCTTAGAAGTCCGATCTTCTGGAATATCCGTGGACCAACATCTCCTTTATCCTTGAATCCTGGGACTTTTATGTTCGAAGACTTGCGAAGGCACAGCACTCTGGAACCAACCAGCCTTTTCACCTCCAGCATGTTAGAATATGGGGAGATCCAGATAACCCAGCCAACGCCATGGCAAAAGACGATTCCATTGTAGTAGACTCCCAAAAGGCGAGCCGCTGTTTTTTTCACGATTATGCTGCCTTCCGAACGATTGAGGAACATATCGGATATTATCTCAGGACGTTCTACACTCAATCAACTCAATCTACCTTTCTACAAGTACACAAGGATACTCGAATACCGGATTCCCTATTTACCTCACCCTACAGTGATGATAAAATTCAAAAGCTGTTCTGGTTGGTTCGAGGCGGCGCTCGTTTATCTCCTGATCAGACATGGGAACTTACCCTTCAGAGCTTCCGCGATGCGGCACCGGAAACATTGCCTCACGTTGGCAAAGTCAATCTCACTATGATCAGGCTACTTTATACCCTAGGAGCCTACCAGAATTGGCCCGAGTATGTTAGTACTGATGAGGCTGATAGAATATACTCTATCCTGCGCAAGTTCATTGGTGAGCCAACAGCTGAGATCGCGGCTAAGTATGAGTATATCTTTCGGATGTTATCTCGGGGTTAACTTGACCCAGCTAGCCCTTAATCCTGGGTTAACAACTCTTGGATATATGGTTTGGGTCTAGGTCTAGGTTAGAATTTTTAGTACTTAAGAACTAATTGCTAGTCGCGTGAAACATCCAAAATACGGATTCGCGTGAAACATCCAAAATACGGATCGTTGAAGCTCCAGGATATCCCAGCGTGCACCGGCAATTATCATCACCTCGATGCTACTATATTATAAGTCGGGTATGATGATTACGTTTCTTTGGAATAAAAAGTCCTAAGCCCTAGGTCCTTAGTCCACTGGAAAGCAATCGTATTGATTAGAAGGAAGCCACTATATTTGACTACTAGTAGTAACATTTACAGTAGTTATGCTTGTCCACTTCGTATGCTCCTAGTCATAATAACATCGATACTCCTAATGCAACGGCTTATAGTACAGTGAATGCTGGAGCGAACTGGGTTCCTCGTGTGCAAGATGAGTGCAAAGTCCTAGCTCTTCTTCCAAACATTCACGACAACGACATTCCTCCCTTTTTTTTTTTTCTCTTCTTGTTTTCGATGATGCTCTCATGAGTACACTCGCGAATGAATCTTACACATAAATTTTTTTTTTCCTTTTCAAGTAAGTCCCTAACAACGCGCGAATATCAAACGATGAATATGTCACTTCTCTGTACAAACGGGCAGAGAAGTTCGAACGGCCGATTCAAGTAGTTTACTCAACAGAGATTCGCCAACTGAAGATCACCGGAAGTCGCCTGAGGTCATTCTTGTCATCCTCGTCAAGGCGCTGTCGGATCTTCAACTCAAGGGGCCACCATAGCTCCTCGTCGAGGCCGCCGTCAAACTCCATCACGAGAGCGTGGAAGTGGCCGCCGGGAAGGCGATGGACCCACTGAACGTCGCGGATGCTCAGGTCTCTCATGTGGATGCCGACACGCAAGTCATCAGTGCAGATGTTGTGCACATCCTCGTAGACTTTTCCTTCGCCACGATTGAACCAATCGCAGAAAGGCATGTCGAAGCAGGGGTCGCCCATGACGATCGGGTCGACGCGTTCGCGACGCAGGCCACGCTCCTGCATCTCAACCGTGATGAAGCCGAAGCCCTCATCATTGAGGTAGCTGCGGACTTGGTCGACGATGTAAAGCCACTTGCTACCGCGGTAGACGGTGTTCTTGCCCCAAGGCTCGCCGGTCACCATGTTCGAGTTGGGTTCGGCCTGGATAAGGATGGTGAAGGCGCTGACAGCGTGCTGGATCTCGGGACGTGTCAGCACCAGCGAGAACTCGACCTCAAACTCGAGACCGTTCATCACGTTGCCGATGATGCGTTCGATCATGGGCTTGCGCTGGTTAAATCCAGCATAGAGGTAGTCTCCGGGATAGATAGTCTTGACAGGCAAAGCCGGGGGACGCGGCGCGCCGACGCGGAGGCGCGAGAGGAGGAAGCCGCTGGCCTCGATGCTGGAATTAAAAGGCTGAGACTTATCCATCTTGATGCTGCTGTAGTAGATTGATGGGTGGATGAATCTTGGGCTTTTGGGCGAGGTCGTCTTGTGTTGGCAATAGCTTCTTGTAGCAAATTCTATTTGAAAATCAGCTTCTCTTGATTTAGTAGTTCTGATGATAGCATCATCAAAAGGGAACTCAAGGCAGATAAATACTTACTGTCTACTAGGAATGCGAGGTTGCAGTCTTTATTTCCTTCTGGGTATTGGTCCTCGAGTCCTGATGGATGTTGTGTGTTGCAGCCAGATAATTATTTATGCTTATTGAAGAAAGGAAAAAGTGTGCTCTAGTGGAAACCAGTTGCTGCGGTAGCTATGGCTTAGTGCGGCTGGTATTGGCGATCACATTAAGGGCAGGGGCTGGTGGCTACACGAAGTTGAGGCTTTCATTAGGTACCTATCGACAGAGTGTCAAGGCTAAGGGCTAACAGGGGCGAAATCATCGCTGGGGGGACGGCGGCGACGACATGATAATGGCTATATAAAAACGGACCAACCATGTAGCTAATATCTACTGGGAGTAGCTGTCGTACTGCTTGCCATCGAGTCCATCCATAGGCTTAATCGGTAACAGGCTGTTCTATAGATGGAACGCTTCGTCACTAAGACATAAAGATGCTTGTTCAAGTATGTGACTACGATGTTACTGCTATAAGAGCTCAAGTCGGAGAAACTGGTTACGTTTTTAAGTAATTATTGCTTTGGATCTCTACAATGCGTTATATGTAAAAGGGGTATAGACGGCAAGGCACCGAGTGTTATTTGTGAAGCTTCTCTACATATCTCAGGGGTAGCTTGGGTCATAAGAAGTTGAATCACTTGGTCCCTCATCGGTGACGGAGAAAGCACATTCTAGGCACTCGAAATAAAACACAATTGCCTAGGTGGATGGGCAAATATCTGATGTATCCTGTAAGGTTGTATTTTGGCATTAATGGAAGACGTCTTAAGGAAACATGAATAGACTTCATAAAGACAAGTCCATAATAAGACTCAAAAGGGGCGTCGACTTGAATAAAAATCAGAAGATGAGTTGGCTTTAACCAGGCAGTTATTTTTGTATTTGGAATAAGCCTAGAGTTCGAAAGACATGACTCTCCTTTTCTAAGAATACTATGGCCACCTATGTTTTGTAGTTTATTATTTGATCCTTGTGAAAACAGTGCACATAGCTCTAGCTTTCCCCGAGATGTATTCATTGTGACCTCCAACCACTAGCTGCTGGTTAACGATTCTTAAAGTATTATGGTATCTTTTTCTAGGCAACGAATTATAACACTTAACGGAATAATTCCTATGCCTCCAACCACTCATTGATCCACTTACGCATCAATTTATCGCCCACAGGAGGCATATCATGAAGGGTTTGACTTGCAGCTAGAGCCCGCTCGATCGCCATTGGTTGTGCCGGCACAGCTTCATGAGCCCATAATCCATTATGGTAAAAGTCCAGTAGCTTAATAGCTGGATTTGACTTAACTGCGTTGGCCATGCCTGGGATATCTCCCTCTGATACAACCGCCGCACTCTCTTCTAGACGGCTGAACCAAGTTGACGGCTGTACAACCTCAAGTTTCTTGCCAAGGCGCGTCTCAACATCCTCCAATATCACTGGTAATAGTTTATCCCACGCTACTGTGTTCGGGTTGCGTAGATTAAATACGACAGCACTAGAGCCTGCCCCTTCGGGGTTGGGGGATACAGCAAGGTCTGTCACGACATCAGCCAGCAGATCCGAAGGCATCCAGTCGACCTCGGAGAATTGGGGTCCTAGGTCACTGGGCAAACAGCCAAGGTATAAGGAGCTGATAACAAGACTCGGGAGCCACTCGGAGGGATTCCACAGGCCGGGATAGTGGGCGGCACCGCCGACTTGGCCGACCCGCGCAATCGTAACGGGAATACCCAAGTGCTTAGAAGCAGTATTACAGAGGTGCTCAGATATAAATTTGCTCCGGGAATATCCGTTGGCAGCAGGGCTATCGAGGGGCTCTAGTACGGCTTCAGGGGCCGCCCCGGAATCAACTACCCGCCCTGCTATAGCGCCTATTGACGAGATGAAGACAATACGCATTGACCGTGGTGCCGATGCCGCCGAGAGCGCAAACAGGTTTACTAGTCCAGCCAGATGCGGTCGAAAAGCTTGTAATCCCAAGTTGAAGTTCACTGGCCAAGCGTTGTGGATAACGAGTCCAACTCGAGAACGCAATTCGTTGTACGTTCCCTCGTCAACACCAAGAGAAGGATTGCTTAAATCTGTCTGTATGAAAGTTACTCGATCATCAAAATCCACCGTTAATCCGGTCGCCGCGAAACGATGGGACTGTATCTCGCGGCCACCCCCTTGGCTACGATTGAGGCAGAATATGTGTCCAATTCCAGGTCGATCGAGTAACGCTCGCAGTGTATATGTCCCCAGAGTACCAGTGGAGCCTGTTAAAATCACGTCGATTGGCTCTGTAGGACTTGATGCTGGTAACTTGGGTACTGGAATCTGCTGAACAAGTTCGCGATAGGTGGCTAGTAAAGAGCCCATGAGGTCGTGGTCATTGGGCGTACTGCTTTGATTCAGAAGCGCCGACGTCAGTTGGGGAATGGTAGGATTTTGGTATACTGTGGACAGGCCAATTCCAGGCCGACGAAGGGCACGTCGCAATGCACGCGTGAGCTGAAGTGCCTGCAATGAATCCATACCCTGGTCAAAGAAACTGGTCGAGTCATCTATCCCTTGCCAGCCTGTGACAGTAGAAACAGCGTTTCGTATAAGGGGCGCAATGTCGCCGTCAATTGCACCATATGGCGCTTCATCAGTTTCGTCTTCTAGAGCTACATCTATATCTGCATATAACTTGTCGATCTCAGCCGCGTACTGAGCGATGCTGGCAGACCGTTGGATAGTACCCTTCCCAGCGCGAATTAGCGGGCGGTCTGATGCTATGAGGATCAACGCCTTTTCCACGCGCGCATGAGCTGGCGCATCTTGGTTAGCCTCCTCTACACTGGGCCAGATGCGTTCAATTAACGCAGCTTGGTCCGCTGTATCCAGGGGTTTGACGACTGGCTCAATCAACAAGGCTGCCTGGAATCGCTGTGAACCAATTACCAAGACACCACTTAGCTCGGGATTTCTAGCGAGGACATGTTGCTCCATTGAAATCGGGTTCGTCTTTTCGCCATTTAAGAATACTATAATGTCGTCGGCACGAGCGCGCCATCGCCAAGCGTCTGGTACGGTCGGGTGAGGTTCAAAAAGATCGCGGGTACGATACTCCTCGAGCTTCTTTTGGCTTATAATTCCAAAGGCTGTCTGTGTATCTGAGAGAGCTTCATCGCGTCGTATAATCAACTCATAATTGTTGCTCGTAACTTCGTCAAAAACTGCACCGGTACATGGATGGAAGCGAATACAACGCCAGTCCAGCGGTCCTAGTTCGACTGGTAGCAATTGCTGTGGTATACCAACCTCGGAAGCACCCCATTGACAATGTAGCCTAACCTTTGTTGCGATACGGTCCCCGATTTCTTGGGGTAGGTCACCTCCCATATAGAGAATCAGCTCAAGATGGTTTGCACAGTAATCTAGCAGTTCGGGATTCTGAGCTAGTTCGGCTATCACTGATGGTACGAGTACTGCTACATCTGCCGGTGCCTGCTTGAGAGCTTCTACAAGCCCCTGAGCGGTCACAATGGCCGTAGCTGCTGGTGCAATCACAATATTGCCAAATGGAATGGCATTGAACAGGTATTGTGCCAAACCAGCTCCCTGGAAGTGTCAGTTTGATAGTAAAAGGTAAGGATTCATCTCGACATGGTCTACTTACGTGGAACGGAGGCAATGTTGCTATTACTCTCTTGCCATGGTAGAAGCTATCAATCGAGGTCATCCCCTCAGGGGGCCCACAACCATTGGAATTACACTCCCGTGCTAAAGTTTCATAAGTCCATATCAGGGGCTTCGGCAAACCGGTTGATCCGGAACTGTGACTAAAAGAAGTCAAAATTAAGCGTTATATGTCTTCAAACGAGATGCTTGCCCAAGACGTACATGATGAGGGCTGGGTCCCAGCGGACTTGCTCGAGGGTTTTATTAAAGAAGAAGTGCGGATATGGCCTCTCTAAGAGCTCCTCTACGCTAGGAATAGAAAACCGACGTGGTTTGACGGCTTCAATAATAGAGGGGACGGATGGTGGCGTTGGGTCCGTCGTCACAAGAGTCCGGCACTTCAAAGAGTCGAAAAGACTACGGTGTGCTGCGGGACTATTGCGCGGCGATGTAAGAAAAAGCTATATATTTATTAGCGTAATATACCCCAGAAGTCCCATCTATTAGGCACTGGATATTTCTGGTTTCCAGGCCCTGTCTTCATGAATTAAGATATTAAACAGTTATGATAACTTTTAGGTCTATAAATAGAAAATGAGATTTAATAATGATTCATATGTGGCATTATGGTGTTGATAGGGGACGTGGAAGTAGCTAGTATTTTGGCTTTAACTTGCAAGAGAATCTTACTACATAACCCGATTTCATCGAGGCTAACGCGAGCGCTGTAAGTCGCACGTCGTTGGGGCCGATATAAGTTAGGGCTTCGTGATGAGAGCTGGGCCCAAGTTGCTCAGTAAGCCACCAGGCTAAGCCATTTATGATATTAGCTAGCTGTGTGTAGGTAACAGCACGAAATCCGGCATCATAGGAATCGGGCGCGACGGGCCACAAGCCATAGATAGCTTCGGGTCTCTCCCGAGCTAGCCGGTCAACGACGTGAGGCAGCAAGTCATTCTATGAATAATAACAGGATCAGTGACTATTCTATAAACTGAGAAGTCTAGATAGCCGAGGAACAATGAATCTTCTATTCAAAGAATATAATGTTCTCACTCACCTGCCACTGGGCAACACGGGCGTGATCGTTAATCATTAGGATTAGAAGATGCGAGATCGTATTGTAAATGAAGATTTATAGGGAGAAGATACATGGAGTAGCAAGAGGGGAGGAGAAGTCAGGAAGAATTCAGATACAGATGTAAGCATATACCACACCAAAGGAGAAACACTCCCAGACTTGGCCCACCGCTTATAACAATTGTTAGTTGTCAATTATCATTGATACAACGGGCATAACACACCTAGTGCTGACAAGATTTGGAGATTTACTACTCTGCTAGGTTAATCGTTACCCACTATCCTATCGTATAATCGGCCAGCCATCTTTTAGAAATCCGGTCGAGTTACGTGTCGTAACAAATTAGGCGTCGTTCAATATCACGTCAAATGGACACTTGCATCCTTATATTGGAATAGATGCAAAAAGAGTATTGTTGGATAAATTGATCTATTGAACTAACTAAAAAAATGAAATATTATTATTTTTTTTTTTTACAAACACTCAGGATGAATCCGAATGTCTGAATGACACGTGACGAGCAGTCACGTGTTGAGATGTACTAAGGTACATCTCACAAGTATAATATTTGCATTTATGCTGAAAGGTATACATTGATGGGTAGGCTTGACTTCGACCCCTAATATATAATAAGACAAAAGTGTCCGTGCACCTCCCCCTATTTTCCATATAAACACGTACACTTATAGTACTAGTTACTTGATTTGCCTTCTCTTCCATGAGACATATTTAGTTATTTAATACTTATCGATGTAAACTTTTCAATTGGTATTTAAAATAAGGATAAATACGAGTAAACATAATAAAATTCTAAAGGGTTAAGCCAAACGTTATATTGTACCTGCATTATATGTAAGATTGTAAATATACCAGGTACCCAGATATATTTTCGATAAAGCAGCTTCCGACTAAGAACCCGCGTATGTGGCAGCATGTTGATCTATTTATATCGAAGTTATTTAATATAAAAATGGACGCGCGCGGCATTAATCAACTATATTCAGCCCTGGCCAATTGTTCGTTCGCACTGCCAGCTACATGTGCGCCATCTTCATGTTGTGTTATGTCTATGTCTCACTTGGAACCCTACAAACCCGAGTACAAAGTCATAAGCTCACCCCTTAACGTAAAACAGGTACCTAGCAACCTATTTTAAGGCGAATTATTAGCTACCTAGGTATGTTATAAGGCACAAACTCGACCAAGCCTAGTTTCAAATATACAACATCCAATTCCTTAAAGCTATAAAAAGCCCCTTCACTCATAGTATTCAAGAAATGCAAATTATTGTTTCATTGACTACGAGACTTGACGATATGAAAAACCCAACAATGAATAGCCTCGGCGAGTTAATATCTCATCAAAACGCTTTCACGGGTTGGAAGAAAGTGGCTAGGTTAAACTGCATTGTACTGGGATGTATGTCCGTGATTCTGATATCCTTTTTGATCATAGCAGTTTTGCGGGCTGGAGGCGTTCAAAAGGCACTATTTTTCTACCAAGGGGATTTCGATGGGAATAACGTTTCGAGAATCAACATAGCTCTCCACTTATTCATCAATGTCCTCTGAACACTTATGGTAAGTCTCTTCTTCGTAGCCGTTATTAACCTCTAGATCAATTTCTACTAATCGTTGGACTTTCAGTAAGTGATGTTTATCCCCCTTGTCTAAGTTAGATTGATGGCCTACCGCTCTGGACGTGTCAGGATTCTAGATGAGACATCTAGAACAAAGGATCTGTTCAATATGTATAAACGAAAGACCCTCATAGTTAGTTTAGAGTTCCTTACGGAACAACGAAGTTGTTTCCATGCTGTTTCGTTCCACCTCGTGACAGAATGACTCTAAGGACGAAGGTTCAGTCGCATTCTCCAATAAATGGTGCATATGTCGTTTGAGAAATGATCACCGATGAATATATATAACTAACACCCGTTTCAACGCCCTAGTAAGATGCCAATTTGATGCGTAGGGCCCAAACTAGATTACATATATAAACCGTAGTACCCTATGTGTCAAGATCCTGCTACTCCCAATTCCTTTAAATGGCTAAGTTGGAACCAACCCCGGATTTATCCGGAGTGCTACCTATCACGATGCCCTGTGGACCATTCTCAATGTCAATCACGTTTTTGTGGACGTGTCCGTTTATCACTATAGTGTGTAGTCTGGAAGCGTCCTGGAAGAGTTCGATATCCTCCAACGGGTTCCCGTCAACTAGGATGACATCGGCATAGTATCCAGGCAATACCTTCCCCAAGTCATCTGGGTAGCCCATAAGCTCTCCTCCTAGGGCCGTCGCGGCAATAAGGGATTCCTTAGGTGTATACCCGAATAGGTTAACGAAATGGGCAAGGTCCTTTGCGTAGGTTCCATGGGGTGCCCAGGCAAATCCGTAATCACCTCCAGGAAGAATCTTAACTCCGCGTCTCTTGAGCTCCTTCATAGCTTTGTTTGCAGTTTCGACTTCGTGGACTAGACCCCTTTTCTTGGCCATCTCGGGTGTGAGGCCGTAAGGAATCGCGTCGCCTGTGCAGCTAAGCAGGGGAAAGTTGATAGCTGGCGCCACGTAGACCCTATCCTTGAGCGCCTCGAGCATATCGAGCCCTTCGGCGTCGACGTAGCTGGCGTGGTAGATCATGTCGACACCAGCTAGACACGACAGCTTCACTGAAGCTGCAGACCTAGCATGAGTGCATACACGCTTACCCCTGTGGTGGGCCTCTTCAACAGCCGCCTTAGTCTCAGCTAGAGTATAATATGTCTCCTCGCTCCTATTTACGCGATGATTAGCAAAACTCTTTGATACGACTTATATCAGGAATTCCCATTAAAGAAAATAGAATAAGTTCAACATCCGTCCAATCAACATAGGAAAATATTTATTTCGCAAGATACATACCCCATAGTCTCATGCGTATAGTCTCCTGTCATACTCAGCTTAATATTGTCGGCGCCAAGTTCGATAGATTTGCGCACGACCTGACGCATGGCGTCAGGACCATCTGCGAATTGACTGATACTTGGGATGATCGCGCCGCCTGTCGTCGTTATCTCCTGACAATTGGCTAGGGAGCGAGGACCTGGAATTAGGCCGGATTTGATGGCCTGCTTGACAACAATATCGAGACGGGGTCGTGCGGAAGCTGCTCCGAAACACATCGTGTACCCATAGTCCAGGTATGTCTTTGCCGACTGTGCTGTCTGTATCACATGCTCTTCTAGTGGCGTTCTGGTTAATCCGTCTAAAGTCGGCGAGTTGTTCCAGCTAAAGTGGGTATGGGAGTCAACAAGACCGGACATGAGGGTCTTCTTACCCTTCCCGTCGACAACTAAGGTATCGGAATCAGGGGTTGCATCAACTTTTCCAACTGCCCTGATTCTTTCCCCTTCGATAAGAACATTACCTAGATAGGGGTCCGCACCAGTGGAGTCGAAGATGTTGACGTTCTTGAACAAAATCTTGGCCTTATCACCATCTTTGTGATTGTCTATAGTGATATCGGCAGGTGTTGGCTTATAGAATGGTAGCCCATTTATGGGACTAACTTCTGCGGTCGGGTCAACCCAGTGACCCTCAGAGACAGCCTCAAGACGGCCATTGAGCTTTTTGCTGATATCTGCGGATGCCATTGTTAAACTCAAAAATGACGATATATATAGTTCCGGGATAAATAGGGGCAATAGAGAAACTTCAAGGGCAATATTAAGCTGAATAGACCCACTGCTAAACGTGGAATAGTCCTGTCAATTTCAACTAACTACATCCTAAGTTAAGGCACCATATATATGTAGATTCATTGCGTCCTTGCCGTGGAGATCGTTTGGAGAGATCGTGGAGTATTTCCATATTGTCCGGGAAGTTGCCGCAAGGTTGCCACACTTTCTTACGCTGACCTACACTCTTCGGAGAGTTGCCGTATTTGGAGGTATCAATACCTCCTATTCATGGTGGGGCTTTGAGAATCATACAACATGAACTAGGTATAAGACCGCATACAAGATGGCATTTCGGCATTGTTCGGTATTCTCTCTATTTTCATCAACCAATATTCTACGTACCTCTCTGTTTACTTCAGTTCTCTTATAGGAAAGATGGCTGATTCTCAAAACTCTACGATCCTGTCGTTTGGCTTTGTCGGCCTTGGGAATATGGGCTCTGTGATGAGCTTAAACCTGGCCGGCTATGCCCAAAAACAAGGATTCCCAAAGGTCAAGCTATGGAATCGTTCTCGCGGCAAAGCCGAGGAGCTTGCTGGACGGGGCTTCTTTGAAGTAGCAGATACGCTGGAGAACATAACAAAGGACTGCAACATCATCCATGCTTGCCTTGCAAACGACGATGTTGCTCTGTCAGTTTACCGCCAAATTCTAGGCGCTGCAAAACCAGGTCTTATCCTTGTGGACCATTCGACATTGTATCCAACCACATCCTCAACATTATACGCTGAAGCCGAAGCGAAGGGCTCGAGTTTCCTGTCTTGTCCAGTCTTTGGCCCACCCGCCGTAGCTGCAAGCGCGGGGCTTTTGGTCGTATTATCTGGCCATGAGAAAGCCAGGACTACATTGAAGGAGTACATCGTGCCGGCAATAGGAAAGGCCATTATTGACTGTGGTGATAGCACAAGAAAAGGTGCACTTCTCAAGATTCTAGGGAATAACTGTATTCTCGGTACAATTGAGCTCATGTCAGAGAGTTTCACTCTAGCCGAGAAAACAGGATTTGACGCCGCCTTGTTTTACGAGTTCATACGTAAGTGGAAAATGTAGCAAATACGAAGCTAAGCTAACATATTGTCAGAACAATGGTTTCCCGCTCCAGCTTGGGTGAACTATGGGAAGAAGATTCGGGACGGGGCTTTTAGTGGTACGACGGGATTCACTATACCTGGCGGGATGAAAGACGCTGCATATATACGACAGTTAGGTGCTGAAACATCTACGCCAACTCCTCTTATTGATCAGGCATGGAACCATCTTACCACCGCTAAGGCTCTGGGTGGTGAAAGTTTGGATTGGAGTTCATGTGCCGCTGGAATGCGAGTTACGGCAGGCCTACCACCATTCAAGGGCGAAGATTTCAGTTTGAGTAAGAAGTAGGAAACGGGGCTTTGTGCATTTAGGTAGTCTTGCATGCATTATATAGATAGAGATCAGCCGTGTATACATAAACAAGTATTCTCGCTACCTGATAAGCTCGAAATGTGGTTGAGAATCAAGAAAAGGGTTGGTTTGGCTAATCAATGACTATTTCTATCTTCTCAGCGTTTCCGCCGGTAGTTTAGTCGCCTTGTATACGCTGCTACCTCCTATTAGCTAGCCGGAGAATGGACTTTGTGGTTCTGTATCATGGATTCCATGGTACATCACAAAGAAGGTCCTATTAACGGGGATAAATAAGAGGTACCTAATATGTATAGGGTACGTTGAGACTAGACGCACTCGGTGATACTAACCAAAGTAGACATCCCATAGTAAATACAAGAGATTTAAACAGCATAACTAACATAGTATCAACTAGGCATACTATTTTATAACTATCTACCTCTCCACTACCAATGCCCAGGCGCACTGTAACTAAAGCAACTACATCATCTGTAGGCTAGAGAACACTACGCAATATTTTTAGCAGCCGAAATGATCGCCTTAATAGACGCATCTGTACTCTCCAGTACATGCCAATGACCTGTATCCTTGAATACCATCTGCTTGGCGTTCGATCCAATATCCTTCACTATATCTGCTCCCGCCGTGGCTGTAGATACCTTGTCTTCGTCTCCAGTTAGAACAAGAACATTAGCCTTGATTTGTTTCCAAGCAGGCGCCGAACTTCCTGCCAGAGCATCCAAGGCCAAAGCATATCCTTCCGGATTCTGTCTCGTAAGCATTTCTCTGGCTAGTGCTACCTCCCCTTTCCGGTTGATCAATGACTTGGGTGAGAATGCATTTGACACTACCAAATCAGCAACTGCCCCAATTCCCTCACTTCGAACTGTAGCGGAGCGGGTGGCAAGTGCTTTCTGGCCAGCCTCAGGAGGCGGTCTGACGGGGCCGAAGGCTACAACCCCCTTTACAATATCCGGGTGCTTCGCTGCAAGATGAAAACTGATGAGCCCGCCGAATGAGTGGCCCACAACCAGAATATCTTTTAACCCCAAGTAGCCAATGATAGCTGATTTTCATATTAGAATATGATACGGACTTAGTATATTCGGAGAGAGAATAAGCCTTACCCTCGCAGTCTGCTACGTATGACTCGATACTAGTACTCTGTGGTACGGAACTCCGACCATGGCCGGCCCAGTCGAAGCGAACTAGATCGAAATCCTGCAAGCTAGAAACCAGCGGTTGGAAGGCATTCGTGGTCCCTCCAAACCCGTGGATGAACAGAATAGTCCTAGATCCACTAGTGCCCTCCCGTTCGTAGAAAAGTTTAACAGAGTCTCGAGGTATGTAACCGGACGACTTAATTTGGGAGGCCATGTTTCAACGTAGGATTGAGGTATGGTGATGGTTTTTGGGTAGTAACTTTGTACTATGAGAAAGATGACCTCCTTTATACACGATCTTACGATCATACCAAATTATATGATAGTCTGCAGTTCGTCTTCAAGGCGCCTGAAGGCCCGTACGGCAAGTTGCCGGGTGCTCGCACAGTGAATCCCGGCACTGGGCATGGTTTCTGGTACAATTCGCAAGTACTTGCCTCCGCAATAGGTCTGGGGGGAGGGAGATCATTACGACATGAATTCTTGGGGTTAAAGTGTGGAGAACGTGTACCTATGTCATAGTGATACCTCACATTGGAACGACTGAATTTTCATAGAGTTTTGGGGCTAACCGAGTATTTCTAATAAGATGAAAGTGTAAAACACGTGAATATATTACTACTAACTTCCTAAGTGATACTACATTCATATTCGGTAAGCTATAGAGCGTAAAATGAAACCAAATATTCAGTTGCTTTTCCGTACACTAATCAAAATTATCGAACAAAGCCACAATGTAGGCACTATACTCCTTAATGGCTGCAATCGCCACTGCTTCTGCTTCAGGCCCCGTAATAGAAACCCAAGGCGCCCTAATAATCTTCTTATGGGACTGGCGAATATCTGCCTGGCCTGTCGTGAGCCTTCGCGTTTTTTCAACAAGAATGGTGCTCCCCTCAATCCTCAGGGATATCTCCTTTTGCTCTGACGCCCCAAAAACAGCGGAGAATGATACATCTTTTGCGCTGGACTTTCCCTGAAATTCCTGCAACTCCGAGGGCACGCTATACGAAGGTGTCGTGGCTGATGCTTGCCAGAGCTCTTGGCCGATGAGTTGCGACCTTAAAGTCGTCCATCCCACGAGAACTAGGTTGCATGGAAGAGACACTTCAGAAAGAAGAGAGAATACGCGAAAGGCGCTTATGAAGGATGATTCAGAAAGGCCACCGTCTAGTGGGAAAGCAATAGCAATAGGCGCGATATCTGTATCCTGTTTGCGTTGAGTGATGTAATTGTTTCCTAAACTATCTTCCTATGAAGCTGGTTAGATGGTGTGGGTTAGAAATAGATATTTGCTACTCACGAAGAAATGAAGAGACTGCGATGTGGCATATGATCTGAGTGCTTCCCTAAAAGGGGTATTGAGTGATGCTGGTGATTCATGGGGACCGGCATAAGTCTTCTGAAGATTCGTAAGAGTATCAACGTCTGCCATTATCTAAAGAGTACCGTTCGTTGATTTGGAGAAGGCCTGATGGTTAGGCGGATGAGCTACTATTCCTAACGCGAATATCCATCTCTTATCATATCATTCAAATAAGAGACTGGATCAAATATGCAAGGAGATAAGTTACTAGCTTGCAAATACGAGCGGCAATCCGGTAGGATGCCGGGCACAGGGGCTCCCAAAGTATCGGGAACTCTGTAACATACGAGTTTATTTAATAATCGCTACTTCCGTGCGGGTAGATGCCCGTGGCGATATTCGCGGCCCTACATGACGGACACTTTTACTATGGCGGCGACCTTACTGTAACCCCCATGGCGGGAATTGATGCATGCGCGGGAACATGCCGGGGTGGTGGGACATCCTGGACCCCTGAACATCTTATGTCGTTCATGTTGCTTCAACTTGTTGCTGACTTAGAATCTAACCAGACGAGCATGCTATTATACGACAAATGGAGAAATGGCTACGTTAGATCTACGTTGAGTCGACAGTATATTACTATATGACGCATTGAGACGTGCAGCATTTCTTCTCCGAGGATGACCACGATATGCCGGTATCCTACTCTTCGCCGATTCGGGGTTAACGCGGGGCCGAGTGTTCGGATCTTACCGGAGCGTCAATCAATTATTATTTACATACTTCGGGGAAGCAGGATCGACTGGATACTATCCCTGATGCAGCTTGGTACCTTATTGGCCTTCTGAAGCCGAAAAGGGTCAACTATAGCTATGGCTGCTAGGTGCGATTTCATTATCCTCGAAATTCCGAGCGCTACGATGGCTGGATTCCGCCATAGGTAGTAACAAGATCAATTTATAAGCCCATGTTTCCTCCATGATTAGATATATTCTTCTCTACAATACTCAATCACGACAGAAATCTTCGCAAAGTCATGCCTTTATACCACATAGGTAATGCCATTGTTCTCGGGGAGTGCCAGCGATACTAACACCTGTAGTACTGTTCCGGCTAAAGCCGTCAACGCCGGTGGAAAGCTTGAATGAATTCAAAAGGAGAGCCGCGGCAATGGTATCGCAGGTTCCTGGTACGTAGCCATTATTAGGTTCACACCACTCTTTTAAGCTTACAGCCATATATTATATTAGGCCTCTTAAGGATAGACATTAATAGCCCATGGCCTGACACGGCACATAGAAGTAGAGGCTACAACATGGGTCTCGTGGCTGTCTTGGAGAAAGCGGAGGACATAGCGGGCTACGCAACTCATCCAGCCCACCTATAGTACGTTTTACTCCCATCACTTTAGGAAAGTCCGCATTTAACTAACACGGGCCGCATAGTACCCATGAACTTCGTAATGAGATCTGCGAGGATGACACTCTTGCATATGACCTGGAATTCCCGGCTTGATGAGTCTATTTCGAATAGATCAGAAGAGTACGATATGTCTACGGTCAGATTATCTCATTATTCTACTTCTACATGTGCATTCAACCCCACCTGGCCCGTAGACACTTGGTGACCAAAGCATCTTGGACATGGATCAATATTATTGTCCGCCTCTCCAATTAGTTTCGGAAGCAGAGGAGTAATTGCCGTATAGACCCCTCTACATTTTAACTCCACCCTGTATCTAACTTCTCGGACGTATATCCATATCCTACAAGAGAATAAAATCTCATCTCCTAGACTTCACCGAATTCTTGTGAATTATTGAGTGAAATAGCAAATTCATAACAAATGATGCGACAACCCAATTCTAGACCAGCACGGAAATATGGGTTTGCTTGCTCAAATTGTAGGAGGCGCAAAGCCAGATGTAACGGTGCTATGCCAACCTGTCAGAAGTGTCTTTCAAACGGTGAAACCTGCTCGTACGACAAGTAAGCATTATATCAACACCAATAGAAAGAGACGAGTACTCATGATTTCTTAGGGCCCCCTCGATAGCTTATGCGGTATCATTGCAAAACGAATTGCAAGCATATAAAAACAGGATCGAGGAACTGAGGCGGGTAAAAGACAAAGATCGGGATGCTCTCCTAGATGAGCCTATTAGAACAATAAATCCAAATGAAGGGAGATCCCGTGCATTTCGAAGCCCTCCTGATATCCAGAGTCCTCGGCGGGAAGACAGTGTTACTGTTGAAAGTACAGATGATGCCGCTGATATGGCTTCTGTTGGTACGGACGGGCGAGTCAACTTCTATGGGAAGACTAGTTTATACCACATAGATCCTAAACACTTCGAAGAAAGTAGCCCAACGGACAGTCACGAAGACAGCACCGGAACTTATATTAATGATATGGCGACTATGCCTTCGATATTAGAATTCCACGACACAGCCTCACTTCTGGCGGAAATACCTCACGGCCTCCTGAATGATCTCCTTGATACATATTGGTGTTACCCACACCACTTTCATTGTGTATTATGCAAGCCTCTATTTTTACGTTAGTATGTTCCTATAGGCTTCTTTCCAAAATTCTAACCGATATATAGGAGATCTTTACTGTTCGGGGTCATACGTTACCCCTTTTCTGCTATGCACCGTACTTGCGCAAGCTGCTCGGTATTCCACACGCCGAGACGCCACGGAAGTTGGGCAAACTTTTGCTACTCGAGCTTTACAGCTACTTCCCAGCGATATCGACAAGGGTAGCTCCATTCCTACTATCCAAGGTCTACTTATACTCTCTGCGCGAGAGTGTGCTTGCGGGCGCGTATCCCAAGGCTGGTTGTATTCTGGAACGGCGTTTAGAATGATGCGCGACCTTGGGATAGACGTTTCGCCCAAGAAGCTCGGACACTTGGCGAAACAATTCACTGACGAGGAGCTCGCTGTGCGGAAACAGGTCTTCTGGAGCTGCTATACATGGGATAAAACTATGAGTGTATGTCTGGGCCGAGCACCAGCTGTACACTATTCCGTAGAACTTCCTACTCGGGACACATTATTACACGGACACGATGCAGACGACGAAGTATGGCCGCCGGTGACAACATATAATTCATTTGTCGACGGTCTGGTGGAACAGAAATCCCTGAGCAGTACACGTTTTGCCGCATACTGTGAGCTCAGCGTCCTCATTGAGAATATTCTCGACACTTTATACTCCCGGCCACATAGTGGGAGACAAGACCACCTTCTGACGTATCTCGATTCGACCCTACAGCGGCTACAGTCTTGGGCAGACCAGCTCCCCCCAGAAATCTTCATCAAAGAAACTACCTCTACGGCAATAGTGTCCCCCCCCTTACACATCTTGCTCTTAAACCTAACATACCAAGCAGCCACGATACTCCTATGCCGACCATATCGAACATTGCAACAAATTGCAAAGGAGAGATGTACCAAGGCAGCCAAAATGACAGATACCTTACTCATGTTGCACGTCAAGCGTTTCGGTTTCCGATACATAACGTATCTAGAGACATATACGCTATTCGTCGCCTGTACCGTAAACGTGCTCGATTTCACCGAAAACGAAACCTCTACCGGAGATCCAGTGTTGGCTCGAGAGGCCAATGCCAGACTTCACTTCGGGCTCGAAATTCTCAGGCAGGCAAATAGCACACCAGCAGCCGCCCGCTGCGCCTCGACTATCTGTCAGTTATTCAACAAGCAAAAGGCGTCAATACTGAACGGGGCCGGGGGCCCGCGACAAGACACATCGCAGACAATCGCTAGTCCTTCTCCCAGGGGCTTGGAAATCGGCTCCAACGCCCAGACATTCATGCCCACACCCGCCTCCTCAGCAACCGCCGTATCTTTCCCAGCAACATCTCAGCCACCCCTTACGGTTGCTGAAGGGAGCTATATCGATTCCATAGTAGCTGCTGGGATTCCATATGTGCAAGATGAGAATCAGGGTCACGCACTAGAATCACCTATTCCTGTCGAAACGCCACTTCGATGGTTGCCCGAGAACGTGCAGGATGACGGAAGCTGGATGTTAATGACCGATACTAATTTTAATGGGGATTTCAACTTCTCGCCTATGGTAGATTTATAATAATATAGCCACTGGTTCTGAAAATACAAGATAAAGGGTGCCTAGTCCTCCATTTATACTACCATGCAAATAATATTTGGAAACGAATAATAGATCTTATATAGGGGGCCAGCTAAGTGGTGCTGGCTTCCCGTGCCCTGTAACTATCAGCGATAATCATAGCACAGCATAGCTTACACCTGTGAAAGGCAATTTTAGTTGACCAGGATGGATCTATAGTTTAGGGCATTTAAAGCCCCCCTTCCGAAGTTTGACGATTAATATGACCTATAAATGAAATATATATGTCCAACATAGTACGGAGGGAAAAAGGGGGGGAAGGGGGAGAGGGGGTAAAACATCGGTAGCCTTTTACGCTCAAATTCCCCGTCAAATTCGCAAGGCGCCATTTGGTGAAATACAAAAACTCCAAGAGTGAAACTCATTGTTTATTAATAGCGTAAAGAGCTGGGTATCTCGAAAATGTACCTAATACAAAAAAAAACCACAGCAGCCTATGCCTATGCGTGCCATTTGTCATACATATCCGCTTCATAACCCGAATTTTTTGTGCAATGCTGTAATTTTAAACCGCGCTACCAAAACCGCTCCATACCCCGGAAACCATAACCTTGTATGGGACTGGATACTGTTTTCTCGTACTCTTTTCATTGATGTTTTTTATTCCGATGCTTTATTTACTGGACTCGAATAATGACTTTCCACCCTAGAGCCCCTGCTTCTCTTATGGCGCAAGATAAACAGCCCCGCCTACGGCGGCTAATAATTGCGTTCCAGCCCTTCTCGGCGCACAGGGCGCGGACAAGGATCTCGAGGTCGGACCCGAATTGCCTCCTACGCGTTCCGAGTCGCATCTTGGCTTCGGGACTAGAGCTTGGCGGGTCGATCCGCTCGATCTTGCTGCGGGATGATGCTGCTGTACTTGGCCGCCTCTCCAGCTCTAGTGAACTAGATATCCGTAGTGGTGGCATATTAGTGGCTTCCATACCAAATGACGATGAGAGCGAAGACATGCGGGAGAGTGAAGGCATGTCTGGCGATTGTGGTGGCGCAAAACCCGTTACACAGTCAATTACCAGGAATCGGGGAAGTCTGTTGGAGATAGGGGTCGAGGAGTGACTTCTTGAATGACCTTTAACTGGTATTTTGCATAATAGTTCCTCTAGACTCGCGGAAGGATGGTTGATAAGATCTGTGAGATGGATCGCCGTATAATGATAAAATCGATGGAGCGGATGGCCTGGCACGTGTTAGTAAACTGCAGTAAGGGAGGCGTGATGCAGGGATATACAAACCTGTAATGTGTGCCGCGCTAGAAGACTTGCCATTGAAATTATGACCTCCGACGTCGATTTGCTGGATAGTAGGGCTAGTGGGGGATTTAAAATACTTTACATAACTGGAGGCGACGCAAGGATGCGCAGTAACAAAGTAGACGTCATTGGAAAGCTTGAAGCTGTGATACTCTTCTCTTTCAAGCGTGTCGTGAGATATTGTAAACGCTACAGACGCAGGGTAAGTCTGAATTTCTGCGCCCTCTCCCTTGTTGGAATCTGAAAACGAGTGAAAATTCTTATCTTCGGTAGGTGTTGTGCTTCCGTTGTCTACCGGGGTGTTTAAATTTAACGATTTAAGCTCTATTCTGATATTCGAGGGAGGCGGATTGGGGTATGCATTTTCATACGGGATTATAAAGTCGGCGGGCAGTACGCTCGAAGGGTCGGCATCGCCAAGAACATCGGACTCGCGTTCGATAGTTGTTTTACCCCATATTCTAGCTTTCCTTCCTGTTCGAGCGAGATCGACTGTAATGGTAAGTACCTAGCTTGAACTAGATTGAATAGAAATCAGCGGGCTTACCTGGAATTGCATCAACTGCAATGTTTACCCAACCCTCGTCGAGCCCTCGAGGAGTTACGTCGCTCGATATCCAGCCCATACACTCTGCCGCACCCTGTCCAGCAGCCAATACACGGCCCACGATGCAAGCTGTGCTCCAGAAACTCTTTCCGCTGTAGACAAAACCACCACAGAGATTTGCCAGTGGACCAAGCCTTGCCAATACATTTTCATCAACCTCTAGTAAAGCCGACATAAGATAGTGCGATAAGACTTCACCCGGCAGGATTAAACCGGATACATATGACTTCGAAAGCCATCCGGACACGTGCAACGCAGCTTCAATCTTCCTCCGCCTAGCCGGTTGCTTTCTGTCACGCACCGATGATGCACCATCAGAAAAGTATGAAGAGCGGCGGGAATCATAATCCTGGGGAGGCGTAGTAACGGGGGTTGCTTTATCCAACGCCATAGCCTTCTCGGATAATTTTGTGCCAGAAAGTTGTATGTCTGGCCAGCGTAGCTTTCGCGCGAAGTGTATTAACCCGTAAACCTGCCTTTCATTGTATTTTCCCTGTATTGCGTACACATGCTCAGACTGAGAGTTGTGACGATTCTGACTGTGGTCAACATGATGCGCCCCGTACATGTGCTCATGTTTGAGATTCATCCTGCTCGTCAGCGAAGAGAGCCATCCTTTAGGTGTGGATGGTTCGGAGTGATTCACTTGTTGCTTTTTAACCCTGATATTTTCCAGCCACGATCGGGCCAGAATCAAGGACCATCGAACAGAGACATTTGCCTCCTTTTCAAATCTGTGTACCTCAGACGCCTTGAGATTCTGGCCTATACCGCATTCATCGCCCTCTGTGATGGCATCTAATCGAATAAGGAGTTCGCAGGCAAGAAGAATTTGAAGCAGCAACCAATATCGCTCCTCACTTCGATCTTGCGCGTCGTTTCCCTCATTGATAGATGCCCCGTCTAAGATCTCATCATCCAAGGGGAAGGCCCACAAAATTTGGCCAAGACGGATCCTCCATTCGACGCGGGAGAAGTCGGTCCAGGCATTCGGCGCCGCCAGTACCTTTACTAAGGCATGAATTTGCACAGCCAAGCTGTAAGGGTCTTTTAGGTCAATAACCCTAGTTGGTGGATAGAGAACTTTAGCGAATAACTCATTGTAAAGCTCCTGAGATTTTATCCGGACACCCCTTCGCTCTGCCTGATACCTCTCCTCCAATTTGATTAGCTGTTCCATGATGTCTGAATCATCCAGATGCCGCAAGCCATCCTTGGAGGTTATCAGCCTCCGACGCTGCTCGACAATGACATGACCCTTGGATCCCAGGCTGTCGAAACCATACTGCTCCTCTTGCAGGGAGTCGGCAACAGAAATTTCCAAAGCAGCTTGATAACCGATAGTTCCTTTCTCTAAACCCTGCATGCTAAGCATGTTTGGCCGTTCCTGGCATCTTGCATTAAAGTGAGGCCGCTTCTTGCTGGACGGTGACTCTACGGATAGGGGGTCCCGGAGAATGATCCGGGGTCCAGCAGTGATGCAACCCCAGGCATTGTCTCCGATCTGGACATGGTCAGTTAAGTCTCTGATGCCTAACTCATCATTCCAGGGGAAGGCCACGGATGGGTGCGGGGCACCGGTGCCGTGGCCTTGAGACCGAGCGAAGAATTGCGGAGCTCCGGAGAATAGCTTCTCGATCTCGGTATCGGTCAATGCTGCCATGATGCGATTTAGTTTCAACACAGGCTTGCGAGGCCTGCCATCGACTTTATCTATAGCACCCGGAGGAGGCGGAGATGGGAGCGGCTTATTAGAGTTGACGGGCACACGAGGAGATAATGGTGGTCTCTCAGAGGATGGCCGTGCACTCGAAATCTGCTGATATACGAGCGGTGTTAGTGATAAATAAACCCCGAAAAAGCTCCTTATAGGCAGTGATGGTTATAGGAGATGTTGAGCACGTGAGAAGTATCTAGAACTGTAGAAACCGATATAATAAATTCAGCTGTGTGAACTACTTAGTTCCATCTACCTGAACAATTAAAAAACACAAAAACAAGAAGGTTCGAAAAGAAAACAGCGCATGCAGGGTCTAGGTAGAAACATCAGCTGAGGTCATAAGACAAGCAGTTTAGGGGTCGCGGTCTTATCCAACAACTATGCGCTTTCCCCCCCTCATTGAAACTGAAATGGCATTGTATGTATGTACAATACTTGTACCGGGGCTTGGCAGGGGATTGACTCGTACGTGCGCATCTGGCAATTACCATTGCAGCTGCATCGTTAACGAATTGCCCCAGAATCTCCAGCAGTTAGAGTAACTACCAGTTGGCGGACACGTGCCCTGACAAGGATACCTAACAAGGATAGTGTGGAGGGAAAAGGGTAGGGGCGGTAAGGGTTGCTGTAAAAGGAAATTATGGTAGGTACAGTACCGTTGTTGCTGCTGTGTTGGCCTTTGATTTCTCCGCACTGAATGTACTTGTACTTCTGCCTGTAGTCGTAGCCGGCGTGTTCGTAGTCATACGTGTAGTTGGAGTTGCATCCGCGACGGCCGCGCTTGTGCGTGTGTTTGGACCTGAACCCGAACCTGCGCCTGAAGCGTTTTCTGCATATCCACTCCGTCGCCGCGGTCCTTCACCTTTACTCATCCCGACACCTTTAATCACTCCGCGGATGCCCTTTTGCAACTTATTCCGTATTCGCGCCTGAGGGGTCTTACGGCTCTGCTCTTTTGGCCGTCGTACGAACTCTCGAATTCGAGCATATTTAGATGAACGTTTCTGCCGGTTGCCATCGTTTGGTTCCTTAGCGTCGGTAATGAAGATTAGTGCTGGGGGTTTAAACACAGCTAGCGATGGCACCCTCATGAATGAGTCGTGTGCGCTTTTCCGTTTGTTTAAGTTTAGAGCGTCGAACACAACGTCCGACGGTATGTTGCGCGAAAAGACCATTGTGGTTTCAGAACTGATCTGTCGTACTGGTTATAAGTGTGCCATGAGAACAACCGCCAAGCCATCCAGTCGATATCAAAATGAGGTTGGACCAAGGATATTAAGTTCGAGTGATGCTAAAAGCCAGTCGACAAGATCGTCTATATTACGGTCTTCCCGATATGCTAGAAGACGATGATAGGCGCACCTAATGCCAGATGTAAATTTCAGATTACACAATTATGGGAAATCAGGCTGGGCGGCCACACGGCCATATTAAAACCAACCGCAATGCCAGACATCCGATCTATCTTTGTATACACCAGGGCCAGTAGTATGAATGATGCCACGAATAGCTAAGCTTATGTTCAAAGTGCCGAACGTCACAATACATGGTAGATGGATTCGGGCTATGGGGTGCTTGGTGTTTGTACCCATGCAAGCAAAGCCGCGATAGCTACCTGGATGGATGAGCAAGATAATCAGCCGGTAAGCTAACTATCCTGTACATTTTTGGGTTGTTTCAAATCACCTTCACTAGGTACCTCCTCATAGGCTTCGGAGGTCGAATGTGCAGGGGATATTTCGTCTACCGATTTGGTAGTTTGAAATTCACCCCCATCAAGAATTATTGGTGCTCTAGTTCCTAACGCCAGCAAATATTATGCGTCTTATTCCGATAGATGTGGACTTTTCTCATATGTAACAGCCGCACACCGACATTATCTCACGCTATATACCATCCACGTTCTAGCTAAGGCTCACTTGCAGTTTCAGCCTTCATGCCTGACGTGGCTCGCGTGGGTGGCCATCTGGATAGATCCACTAGATCTTTCGCTTCGTACCACCCGTGCGGTCCGCGATTCCACCTCTAGAAGCAGAAACATGGGACCACCCCTACTAAGCCGATTCCGTCTAAGCCGCTCACCAAGTACGAACCCTCTCTATCGGATTTTCTGTACAAGATTAGAACGCGTTTCGTCATCATTGTTGTCAAAAGTTCTTATTTACGACAATGAAACAATGTCAGCCTTACGGTGTATCCTTACCACCTTCGAATTATCCTTCAAATTATTACCGAAGCGTCTTTCACTAGAATCCCGAGCAGTGCCGTACAAGTTATATAGCACTTTAATTTTAATGTAGATAGCCTTTCCCCTCCAACTTTTCAACCTAATATATCGGAACATTTCTGTTTAATTTATATGGGACGCGCTGACTGAACCTCAGCCGAAAAATGGAAACTGATCCTTGCTTCCATAGAAGGTTCCCAGATCAATTATTCGCATACGATGGTGCAACGCTGAATCCTGAGGCGCCGTTCCATACGACGCCCAATGGTGCATTGTTGGATTACCTATATCGTATACTATGTACCCACCCGCTCAATTGTCCTGTTACAATTTGAGAATGACTATAAGTCAATTATCCTGACCTTGTAGGATTCTCAATCACATCCGTAGGGCGTCCAGGTATGTCATCCTACCGTAGCCCAGTTCGGCTCCGACTGCAGTATTCTAGAATCGCTCCAAGGGTAATGACTGCGGCGATCAGTTACAGCTGACGACGATCATAGAGCTTCCCGCTTGGTCCGGAACTAATATTTAGTTGGTGCTGAATCTTATAGCTAAAATTGGCGATGACTCGCAGTCTGCGTATTGAGTTGGCAACACTTTAAATGGCACTGCGGATCAACTAACATCGGATATGACCGTAGTCAGCAAATTTGCGATATTCGTTGTGCTAATTGATAACACTGGATATGGGGCCTTTCTGATAGGGTTCTCTAATACCTCCTCCTACGCCTTTACACCTACTGTTGTAGTACCGAGAGATCTCAAATCACGGTACTACACATTAATTCGCGTGTCGTAAGTACGTGTCCGAGGTTCGGGTTATTATTTCTCTCGGCCTCCCCTAGCCCGTATCCATCCAATGGTTCTCGATTGAGTTACCGCTGAAACTGAAACTACACTGGGCGATTTTCTTGGCAGCCACTCTCAATGACCGATAGAAATTTACAAATGTTGGATATTCTAGCAGTATACGAGAGGAAGAAAACAGCAGATATGCCACCGGCAAGGCGACTATTTTAGCCCAATATTATGCGAGTGCCGGAAGTTCACGTGGAAGTATACTCTTAATCGCTTAGGTTAGGAGCCGAGACGTGTTTCATCCATCATTGCCAGCTCATGTGGCACTTTTAGTGGCCATAGTTATGGGATGTAAGATGAGCCCTCGTGACGAGATTCCTCTTCTCACCAATGCTAACAGCTCGAGGTGAATCGCATTGGGGTTTGCACTATTGGGAGCGTTTGAGTGTTGGTTTAACATCTATCAAGCAGCATCTTACTCGGGAGTTGTTCTAAGGCCAGTATGCTCTTGCATCCGATATTCCTTGACTACTTATTCGTATAATTCCAATCCTAGGAGAACGGAACCCTATGTGTCCGGTTTCATCTATCTCGGCAGGTTCGATTTCTTTCATATATACCTGTAATGCCCGTCCCAAAAGTATAAGCCGAGGCTATAGTACTCCGATGCTATAGATTATTTATCTCGTAACCGATGGAAAGATCTACCATAGAAAGGTAGCTTATATCGGCGACCTTAATACCAAGCTCAATCAGAGTAGCTATCTTGTATTCCCCCGCCCAAGAAGCAACGAGTTTTCTCTTTCACAGAGGCATTTGTTGGCAGGCGTAGCATAATTAATGTTATCCGCTCTCTTGACCATCCAGATGTCGTTTTAGTAATCCAGTGGTGCTTTGGACATCAACTCTAGTTGTCAACGTAGATTTAACGGAGGTGATGGCAAGTGCCGTCATCGAGGCTAGAGGAATGCCTTATGCCTCCTCTAGACCGGTCAACTACCCGGATTCTGGCAAAAAGACACGCCCCCCAGTGTCCTTGTTGCTGCGTCAATTGCTGATCCATCAGCTGTAGAGATAGTCATAAGAGCTAGTGCTCCCGGGTTTCCGAAAACATCTGCAGAGCCACGGTGCAAACATTCTCCTTCTATTGGATTACCTCGCTACGCTCCACGCGCGAAGGACCCCGACAAGCCTAATAGTTACCATATTTGGATTGTGCACCGTCTGCAGTAGTAGGTCTCAACTACTGCAGTCAGCTTGCTATCACGCGGAAATATCTTAGAGACGACCGGGGAAAACGTCCACTAAGAAAGGAATACCCTAGACACTACCCAATAATACCGTCAGTCTGATAGTAGCTGAAGCGTCTGTTACATGGTTGAGCTGACTCTGGGTGGTAAGCATAGGGGTGAAAGAACACCCCTTCAACCCCAGTCCAGTTGAGTCTGACACGGACAGCGTGTGTTGCCATTTAGCCACCTAGCACTGCGTTAATAGTTATAGCGTCCAAAGCCTCGATCATATACGAGCTATACACAATTTACCGTCGTATGGTAGGTATAATACCGCAACAATGGCCGAGAGCGAGTTGTGATGATATCATAATGTTCTGGCTCCTGTTCTTAGAAAACTGGGTTAGTTATAAATCTTCGTATAGTGGTCAACGGGGGAAAGTATAGAGTGTTGTGTATTAGGTCTTTCCTTATGTTCGTCTACCAGTCATGAGTTAAATTCCACTTACGCGAACCACCTGGAGCGGCCGTGCGCCCTTCGGTTTGTAATGAACATATGCCATTTATATGCTATGGATACTTTCGACAGATCCGGTCACGTAGTAATGCTTACATTAGATGACGGCCATACACGATAATATTCTTTTATTAGAGGCATTGAATTCCATTAGGATAGCCCTAGGTCGTCAACATAAATCATTCCCACCCTGGCAATCTTGGGTATAATGCCATCCTAAACGCCGCTGAACGCCGTATATGCTGAAAGCTACTGGCCGAGAAAACCGCCAGCTCAATCACGAGCCAGGGGTCCCGCTAGATTCGATAATCTGAAATGTGACGCGTTCCATTATACGGGAGGTGTGTCGTGGACGACTACCAGCAGATACTTGACTTCGGGGACAATAACTAGCTCTTGCTTCTTTGTGCGCAGCCTCAATAGTTTCAGTTCATCCTACATCAAATTATTAGCCCCTCTTTCATTCAAAAACACAGTTGACCATCTACCTCGGTGTCAATCTCGTCGACCAAGCTCCCTGCCGTACTTAAGAAGCTCCACACCATGCTAGCGAGCTCTTGTGCGGCTTGGGTTTCGTTATCGGTACTCGCGCTGACGTCGGTCGAAAAGGAACCGCCCGTAGGGCTCGGTAGTGAAGCTTTCCTGTCTACATATCGTGCAGGTCTAATCGCGGAGATCTGGCCGTTGGTCTTGAGAACGGTACCGTCGGCCCGGTCCAACATAAGCCAGGCCTTGACCCCGGGCTTCTTGGAGAGCCGGTGGAGTGACTCCTCTATGGATTCCGTGTTGACGGAAGGCTACGTACGCTATCAGTTAGATATATATTAACACTAAGGAGTTATAGCTCTTACCAATGCCTTTTCTGCCATATTTCCTTTTGGTGATTGAATGAAGAACCCTTCGTAGTAATTGCGAACGGAAACAGCCCTCAAGGTGAGTTAAGAGCTTATTGATTCTTTGTTTGGTACCTGTACCCAAGACAACCGTACCTAGAAATTAGCTTAAGCCACTAAGAACTAGAAGACGGTAGCATGCAAGCCACTATGATAAGATAAGCAAGCCACAAATAAAATCCGGGGTCAGTAGTGCAATTATGCCGCTGCTTACCGCCAAAAAGTTGTGCTCGATAGTTCCGTCGCGAAGCTCAGTTAACTAGATGTATAATGGGATAGTATGGCCAATTGGTCTGCTGAACCTATCGCACTAGTTCTTGCTCATCCTAATGACTGATTCGAGATGGGTTCCAGTACTAAGAAGAAGAAGGAAAAGAAGAAGGACTTCCAGAAGCCCAAGCTAAAAGTAGGGAAGCCCAAGGCGAAACCTTCTAACTTTACGGATACCAGTTTTAAATCCAAATGTATGATGATGATGCTATTTATGCGACACCCACCGTCGCAATTGAAGGTCGCTTTACTAAACTATCGCAGCTATCGTCTTGCAGCAGCAGCTTGCTGAGAATGCGCCGGATCCATCCGAACGATTCAAGCATACCCTCTCTCTAACGAGCTCTCGTTCGGACACTCAACGTCGAGATGCGTTATCGTACCTTGCGAGTCAGCTCTCGACGAACCCGCCGACAAATCCAGTAGGGACGTCGACATTACTACAGAAGCTTCTTCCCATGATGTCCGACTCCTCTGGACCTGTGCGCGGCCAGCTGCTGAAGCTACTACGAACTCTTCCCGCCGATGAAGTCCGCCCTCATGTTGAGAAGATCATGCTCTATATCCGAGGTACCATGACCAACATCTCGCAGGAGGTCAAGGATGATGGCCTGAATTATATGGAATGGCTACTTGATGTTGCCGGCGAAGATGTCGTCTCGAGTGCTGGTTGTTGGGTTAAACCGCTTAGAGACTTCATGTCGGTTCTTGGGTGGGCTGTTAAATCCTCACCAGCCATCGCATCGAAGAGTGGTTGGACTTCTGCTCCGAGGACGACTTTTGGTGCTAAGAAATATGGCCAGTCTTTCCCACGACAGATGTTGGTGTTATCCAAATTTCTAGATATGGGGTTCAAGCCAGGAATGGCCACATTCTGGACCCCTAATGATTGGGTCAGCAATATATGTTGCGTGCCGCAGACGCCAGACCCACTTGGGTATCTCGGCTTATTCAAGCCCCCTAGAGACGAGGATAGCGAGCTCTATCGAAACCGGGAAGATAGACAAGATATCTTCCAGAAGAGATTTAGAGCAGCTGTTGAGGCCGGTGTAGATATGGCCAAGAAAGAAGGCGGGACGGCTGGTAGAGCTGCGGCAACACTAGATCAAGTGTTGAAGGATGGTATGGGTGACTACGAACAGACCTCACGATTCAACGATGACGAGCATCTATGGGATGGCTATATCATGTAAACTAGGGATTTAGGCGCTCTGAGGCATATCTTTAAATTTTCAACCTGTGCTAAATGCTGTATTCCTCCCCGTGCTAAATTTTGAATTCGATTCTCACTCCACATGAGATTAAAATGGATGTATAGTCTAGACAACCAATTTTCACCTAATCTCTATCCTTTTAATATTAATGTAACTAAGGCATGAATGAACATTGAACATTACTTAAATAACCTAAAATACCACATACCGATCCCAAGCGATGCTACGTATAGTAATGATACTAGGTATAATTGTATCAATTGTTTTACAACTAATTATGCTGCAAGTACCCTCAGCATAACCCCATCTGCATGCTCTTTACCCTTTGTTTGTTCAAGCTCTAATAGCATGTAGCTTATGAACGAACGCACATCTTTCCGTCATTTCTTTTCAAGATCTAATACTGATAATAGGTTGATATTGTATGTTGCCATCCTAGCAAACAAATATCTCCATGTAAGCTCAAAGGGGTTTTGATAAAGTAGAGATGGTATGCATGTGATACTATGGTTACCGACCTACTATATATCTAGCTCATTATCAATAAATCATACGTTAGGTAGGTAAAGGCTCTCGAAAGCATATGGAGAGGCTTTCAAGTAACCCCTTTCAATCCAGGTTGCTGATGAATCGAAGGTATAGTGACTTGCCGCCATATGAAGTCGATCGTCCTGAGGGTAGACGTTAATTTCTCGATCCCCCATTCGTGTCCAGAACGCCGGTCATATTTCCATGTCGTCGCCCCTGACGCCCCCCATCTAGGCACTCTAGCCAGATTATCATATCCTAGGAATCTCTTACAGTGATCTGCATATCGTTCTAGTGTCCCAGGCCATACACCTCATCTCCTATACGATCGTCATGGAGACCTAAAAATACGTAACCGTACATTCGAGTGTGCCTTCCATGTTGGAGGCTCACAGTAAGGTAGATACATACATTTATGTATTAAATATCAACAACTGCAGTGTCCAACTAAAGAAACCTTGTGCACTTAGATGGTGCCTCCTCCGCTAATAGCCATAGCCTTATTCACTTACATCACTACTTTTTTATTTATGTATGTACCTTGTTGCCTAAATCCGTACCTTGCTCTACTTCCCTAAGTTGTACCCTTCACATACCTGCACCAGCAGTTATAGTAGATTTGATACATACCCACCTAAGTACGCGTACTTAAGACCTCGCATACACCCTAAAAGTATACTGAAGTATTTACGGGGCTCCTTCTAAAGCAACTCAACTTAAGCAGCTGTTCCTTCCTAAGTTTGTTGCTTCCTGATCCTCGAGGTATCAAGGTGCTGATTCTTTCCCACTGGCAATTATAAGAGAACGCATTTCTCCTCCCTACAGCCTACTTCTACCTCTTTTTCCTCATCATTACATTACCACGGGATCCCGCGGAGAGGTACCTAAGCTTGATCTAAGGACCACAACTACAGTCTTCAGTTCTTCGATTTTTCAACAGAACAAAGGGCTAGGTAAGATCAACATTTCCTTCCTCATTATCTCCCACCATCATCCATCAACCATACTCTGCTAAAGGTAAACCTCGACGTGTCTGCCCTTACAACATAACACACCCCGATTCCCTTTCCCTTTCTCTTTACTTTCCTGCTTTCAGCACGAGGGACTCTTCAACTCTGAATATTATTTTCGATCGTCTAATACTTAGTCGCCCTTTTACCCGACTCGCCCATCGCCAACCTGTACTCCCAAACAACGTTTCATACCATCTAAACCTCGCTTCTTTTAAGCAACCTACCCCAAGACCTTACCATTCCTGCACGTTTTTGCTGGACGATTTCAATATCCTATTAACCTTAATCCAGGGTCATAGCTTCCTCGCCATTACTGGATAGGTAAGCTTGTTTATTTCACAAGGCTTCTTCTTGACACAATTCTTGCCTACCTATCACTTTCATGAACTGCTGCTACCTTACTTTACCTTCTCTCGCTACCTCTTCCAGATCTTCCGTTATTTTAACGCAACCTTTTGCTAATAATTCTATCGCATAGGACTCGCGCTTACACACTTGGGTATCACGACACTCAAGTTCTCAAGACATAAGTCAACAAGTAAGTATCTACTCACGATTTATTTCGCATTTCCGTCCTCTCAACCAATACTAAGTGCATTTTGTATCCTTATATCAAACTTCGAACCTTAGCACCCCGAACAACCAAGTATCTTGACATTTTACTCCTCCTCCCAAACATCCTTCATATCACATTGCCCGAAACCTCCATTTGTCCGTCAGCCGGCCGCATTCCCCCGTATCTGAGATTCCGGCTTCAAAGCCCTTACAGGCTGGTAGATGAATATTACGTCTTCTGTTATCACTGACCTAAGATCTCTAGAACTCCGAGAACAACCTTGTTGGTTCATTGATCAACATGTCTGACGGCTGGGGTTCCCCTGAGAAGCCGGTGGCCCCCAAGCAGGTTGCCGGGCCTTCAACTACCGTTGCGCAACGTCCTGAGAAGCCAGTCGGTGACTGGGGTCAGCCCGTTGCATTCGACTACACCGAAACTGATGTTGACCGCAAGTGGGGCAGCAACGGCGCCATCTATGAATGGGATGGCGAAGAAGGCGAAGTCGGTCCTGTGAATCCAGAGCTGGAACTCCAGCTCTTTGGTCGCCCAGAGGAGCGACACTGCGCCGGCGTCGATTTCTCCAAGTAAGTTTGTTTAATTCCCCTTCACGACTCACTATCCTGCTAACCTCCCTAGGATCGCGGAGATCAGTGTCTCCCAAGAGGGTGAGAAGCGTATCATCCCTATCTCTCACTTCAAAGACGCGGGTCTTCACCCTATCATGATGAAGAATGTTGAGATGGCCGGCTACAAAACACCGACCCCCATCCAAAAGTACTGCATCCCGGCAATCAAGATGGGACATGATTTGATCGCCATTGCCCAAACAGGTCAGTAACTCACTTATCTTTTATCATCACTCTACGTAGCTCTGCTAACCCATTTATTTCTTAGGTTCGGGCAAAACCGCTGCATATCTGGTTCCTATTTTGAACCAGCTGATGGGCAAAGCCAAAAAATTGGCTGCTCCCCGTCCTCAGCAATATGACAATGGACCACCCCAATACGTGCGAGCCGAGCCTTTGGTACTCGTGGTTTGTCCTGCTCGAGAACTAGCAATTCAAATCTTCGACGAAGCGCGTAGATTCTGTTACCGCACAATGCTTCGTCCTTGTGTTGTCTATGGAGGAGGACCTATTCAGGAGCAACTCCAACAGATTGGGCGAGGCTGCGATGTCCTTGTCGCTACTCCTGGTCGACTTGTCGATATCATGGAGCGCTCGCACCTGTTCACGCTTCGTCGACTTCGATACATGGTGATCGACGAGGCTGATGAGATGCTCGACATGGATTGGCAGGAGGAATTTGAGAAGATCCTCTCCGGTGGAGGTAAGTTCACACGTTCCTAACACATCAATATACATCTAATATCTACTATAGAACAAGAGCAAGGAAATGTGAAGTACATGCTATTCTCGGCCACTTTCCCTGGCGCTGTTCGCAAACTCGCCAAAGACCATCTTGCGATGAACCATATTCGTATTCGCGTAGGTCGCATCGGAAGCTCCCATGCAAACATTTCGCAAGACATCATCTTCGTGAAGCAGGAGCTGAAGCGAGAGGCTCTTCTTGATCTTCTGTACTCGCTGACTCCTGCCCGAACCATCATCTTCGTCAACAGCAAACGCACGGCAGACGAGATTGATGATTTTCTCTTCCACAAGGGTATGCCTTGCACATCGATGCACTCGGACCGCACTCAGCGAGAGCGTGAGGATGCAATGCGAGCGTTCCGCTCTGGGAAGTCAGCCCTTCTGATCGCTACCGGAGTTACGGCTCGTGGAATTGACGTACGTAACGTCCGCTATGTTATCAACTTTGATCTTCCAAGTGCGGACCATGGCGGTATTCAGGAGTATGTTCACCGCATTGGTAAGTTACCTTTCATTTCCAAAGTGTCTTGTTCGTTTACTAACGCCGTACAGGTCGAACCGGCCGCATTGGATACACCGGTTCTGCCACCTCATTCTTCACTGAGCGTGATGAGTCTCTCGCTGAAGATTTGACCAAGATCCTCATGGAGACTCAACAGCCGGTGCCCGACTTCCTCCAGCAGTACATCCCCGAGGGTGTAGATCCAAAGAACTTTAAAATGGAGGACGACAAGAGCGACTTTGAAGAAGAGGAGGGAGACGCGTGGCAGACAGATGGGCCCAATGACGGCCAGAATGCTGGTACTGATTCCTGGGCTGCTGGCGGTGCAGATGACAGCTGGGGTGCGCCCGCGGCCGGAGGAGCTGCTGCAGATGGTTGGGGATCTGGACCTAAAGTCGATGCCGCTGGTACTTGGGGTTCTGGTGGCAACTTAGGAGGTGACTCCTGGGTGAATTCAAGCAATGCGGAAGCTGACTGGTAATTACCGCATAACCACCACTCCAGTTTGCATGACTCTGGCAGAGCACTCGGACATTTCTGACACAAACTATTTGGCAACCAAATTTGCTCGGAAATTGCGATATTCTGACAGGTCACAGGCCTCCGAGTGAAGATGGCAAACTAATGTTTCATTTCGTTTCTTTGAGGGTTGGCACGAGGTAGGAACCTGCGTTTCTGGGTTGATAGTCCATAGTGGAATCTCTGAGTAGTACGAATTGATTGCTGTTTTATGCCGTCCAAGATTTGACCACCGACTATCGTTAGGGTTCGTAGCATCAAAACCATGTTGCTCTTGTTTGAGAAAGATGTAAATAGCTTACCTCTTTGCTCACTAACTCACATATCCTCTCGTAATACAATTCATGCCTAGGTACCTAGGTATGTATTCCAGAAAAGAGAGTTTACTAATCCGTTTCCGCACTCTCTGTTTGATGTTAGACATAAGTGATTGCTTAAATATCACGACGAATATACGTACGGAATGGAACGGTAGTATCGAGAACACTACGCGGTTGTAGGAGGGGACAATTGACTAGGATTGTTTATATAACATGTAACTAATTTATGCGATGTGTTTAAGGGAAGTGGAACTCTGCAGGTTCCATTCTTGTGCTTTCATCGGTATGCTTCGTCGATTAGGTTAGAGTTCCTAACTGACTGGTATCTTCTGTAGCTAGCGTAAGTCCGGACTTTAGGCATATTGTAATGATTGTAATGAGAGAGAACGGTAAGTCCTTATTCCGTATAAGGAACTCTATGAGGATATGTCTTCTACGGGAATAAAATCCGAGGGGGGTGTATGAGAAGCGAACTCAACTAATTTATAAACACTTTATCTGGTTTATATGTCAACTTCTTGTCTTGTTGATATGATATAAGCCAGCTTAACAGGTACCTTATCCTTACACTTAAAAATAGACATAGTCGGCAGCTTAGACATCCTCCAGCAAACGCGCAAGGGTAGAGAGCTAATATACCGAGGAGATCTAGTTGTACTTTTAGTTTGAGAAATGTTAGGTATTGACATTGGATAATGTTGAAGTCGCTTCGTTGGAAAGCCTTGCTATAGCTTAATTTTGCCCCTATCACATACAATGGAAGTTAATTGAATTGTGGATCTAAAAAGGGGCAATGATTTAAGTGGAAATCGATGAATCGTAATAACGGGATACTAGTATATAATCTCCGATATGCATATAACGGAACGACATCTCATTCACTCATTGGATCAAAGCTTTATGTACCTAGTGAGCTCATTCAAGCTGCAGCCCGCAGCTCCGAAACATACGATACCTAATAGAGTGTGATCAACAATTAGGTATTAAAGAAATATCTTCTCCGGAATCAATGGAATAAGTCTGGAGAATTTCTCCCTTCTTAGGAATTTGAGAGTTCGAAAGACGTGGGTCCTAGCAAAATGAAAGCTCTCACTCCTTGTCTACGCTCCGTATCGAGCCGGCATGGCCTTGTCCAAAATCACGTGCTACGGCAACTACCCGTAGCAGCAGCAGCAACAGCATCATCGTCATGCACTACCAATAGCAACAACAATAGGAGACCTTTCTCGGTCCTCAACCGCCCACCACCCAGTTACCCAGGCCACGTGCCGCTGACGGGTCTCGAGCGCGCCGCCCTAGCCGTCGGCTCCGGCATCGCGTCCTTCGTAAACCCGTACCGGGGGGACATGATCGCGGCTCTGGGCGAGGCCACCGCGTCGCCGTACTTCATCCAGCGGCTACGGCGGGCCATGCTCGCATCCGCCACGGGGCGCAGGATATTACGGGACCGGCCCCGAATCACATCCGCGTCACTGAATCTGCCGTACCTGCGCTCGCTACCACAGAATACCGTCGGCGGAACGTATGTCGCGTGGTTGGACCGAGAGGGTGTATCCCCGGACACGCGCAGCGGCGTGCGGTTCATCGACGACGAGGAGTGCGCGTACGTCATGCAGCGGTACCGCGAGTCGCACGACTTCTACCACGCGCTGACGGGGCTACCGATCGTGCGCGAGGGCGAGGTTGCGCTCAAGGCGTTCGAGTTTGCGAACACGCTGCTCCCGATGACGGGCCTTTCGCTACTAGCCGTCGCGACGCTCAAGCCCGTGGAGCGCCGTCGCTTTTTTACCATCTATGCGCCGTGGGCGGTGCGCAATGGCCTGCGCTGCGACGAGGTTATTAATGTGTACTGGGAGGAGGAGATGGAGACGGATGTGGATGCGTTACGGGCGCGGTTGGGGATCGAGAGGCCGCCTGATTTGCGCGAGATACGTAAGAGGGAGCGCGCGGAGAAGAAGATGTTAAGGGAGGTGAATGGTGCGCGGGCTGTTGGGAGTTGAGACGGTGGCAAAAAGAAGGGGTATTTAAATGTGTCATTAATAGATAGTTTGATCTGTACATTATTGGCTGTACTTGGACCGCGTAGAGCGAGAACGAGCACTCTCCTATATTCCCCAGAAACGCCATGCCATGCCGTGCTATCCCGTTGCATCGTGCGCTGTTTTCTTTGTTTCTTTTCTCTGCCTCTCTCCAACCTACATACGTCATTGACCCCTCGCCGTAATCCAGTCCGCCCTAAGAAACGATATAAAAACACCCTACGGCATCACAGGTCCAGCAGATCGTCGTCCTCGTCGTCCCAGTTCTTGCGCCTGTTCACCACGATCTTCTCCTCCTCCTTGTTATCGGCGACCGCGTTCAGCAGTTCTTTGAGCTGGGCCTCGGTGACCTTCTGGCGCAGCTGGCCGGTGCGCGCGAGCATGATGAGGCGGTTCTCGATGTCGGCGGCGCGCTCCTCCTTTACGAGCCGGATGCGGCCTAGACGGTCGGCGGCTTCCGGGTGTAGGATCTGGTTGAGGATGGATTGGCGGGCTTCGGCTTCTTGTCTGTTGGGAGGGGGAGTTGTTAGTTAGTTAGGGTGTTGTAAGTATGGTGGTTGGCGAAGGGGAGGGTATGCGCCGCTCACTGCTTCTGCTGCTCTGCTTGGTTTCCTTGGCTGGGCCCCGCGCTGCCTGCCCCGCTGCCTTGCGCTTTGAGCTGCTCGAGGCGCGCTTTGCGGATCTATAAGTTAGGGCTTGTTAGCTTGAATGTGGGAAAGTAGTATTTCGGTAACACCTATTTAGCATACCTGTTCTAATTCTGCGTCGGCCATGTTCGTTGTGCTAAAGTGGGATTTGCGTTGGGCAAGAAATCGGTATAATGATAGTGGGGTTTATGTAAGTCGACAGCTGGGATGGATTCTAGAAACTTGGTGGGGTGGTTTGAGGCTCTTAAGCTTCTATTATTGTGTTATGGATAAGTTCATAAAAGGACAGCCCCGCATATTGCGTTAATGATCGATTTAGTGTTTAGCGCATTCTATCCAACCCACCGACAGTCCGCATCGACATTCCAAACAACACAATATCACTGAACATAAAGCTATGAATCCTAGGTTCTATATTCTACCAGGTGTAGTACTACCATTTTATGGTCATTGCCAACAGGTTCAGCTGCCAGTCTAGGCCTTTCAGTAATAGCACCCAGCCTTACACATTTGTAAAAGAGAATACATTGTTTAATCTTCCAAGTTTAAGACCCCTTTTAATTAACTATAATGCGTTAATACCCCAGTTAATTAATGAACTCAGTTTTCAGGCTATTTTCAGCTCGACACTTGGACCCATAGGTCAGACCTTTACACCACTCGCATTGGACCCTTGGACCCTTGATAAAAGCTTAATTTTTGTGCAAATGAATGCCCGAGTTTACGAGGGGTTATTGTGTCGAATTTTTTCCATGGCCCAAATAGGAAAGTAACTCAATGGGCAGTATCTGGCACGTGCATCACCTTTTAAGCGATTTGATTGGGTGCACGACCTGTATATGTGGAGCATGGCTTGGCATTTTGGCCGAAAACCAGCTCCGAAGGCTAAAATGGCTCTGATTGGGTGCATCATTATATTATATGGGCCTTGGAAAGATAAGATAACAACACCACGTGACGGGCACATATGTAGGTAGCCACATACGTAGCCACACACGTAGCCACATACGTAGCCACATACGTAGCCACATACGTAGCCGCACGTGATCTGACCACATGACCTGGCGATAAGCCACCAATAATAAAAGGGATAGACTTTCGCTTACGCTTTCGCTTTCGCTTTCGATGGAGGCAAAGGCAGCGGCGCGAAGCGCCGCTGACTTTGCCTGTTGAGTCATGCGTTAAAAAATAAATAAAGGTGCGAGGTTGAGGAATCGAACCTGGGGCCTAGGAAGGTGTGGCCGGGATAACTTCGGGGCTATGGTATAGCCAGGCGATTACGTAAGGGTTGTTATGTAAACTCGGGCTATTGTGCAGCCCGGGGGTTGCCTCCTGTTCAATACTTTAGGTATATTTAAGTTTAGGCAATGCAAATGCTCGTGTTATTGCGTTACGATCGCCACGGGTCAGGGCTGTGGTATGTAAGCAGGTTTTGCACTTTCACCTATGAAGCGATAACTTATTAAAGAGTCTACGATATATCTTGGTAATTTTGTATCTTCTATTTATTCTAAATTGGGAGACATACCTGTAACGCAGTGTGCGTGTAACAATACCTCATCCACAATACTTCATCGTTGCCAACCATGCAGCAATGTCACCGAGGGTTAGCTGGCGAGCCCCAGACAAGTTCGGAGGCTCCTTCAAGCTTAGCAGCATTAAACTCAGGCGCTGAAGATCAAGAAACCTATTCTAGCATCCCTAGTTTAATAGTAACGGCGTGAACCTCTTTCTATGTATGTAAACCTTGAAGAATCAGATCTCGCTACTTTCCTTGATCGAGTGGATCAACTCGACATGGATAAATACGATTTACAAGACCTTACCCCCCAATACTCGGACGTGACCATACAAGCCCGACTACAGAAGAACAAGGGGACGTCAAAATTTGGGTGAAAACAAGGGGCGCAGATGGTCAAGTTAACAAACTAGATAGGGGGTTGGTTAACTTGTGGCTTAAGGACAATTTATATCAACCTACAAAGCAGTGAAGGTTTAACTAAGCGAATCAATGTAATCTCTAGGAAGTGGGCCACTGAATATGCCTTCCAGGAAGTGAAGAAACAACTGTCAGACTTACAAGCCTACAGTTCCGGAAGAAGGCTTTGTATTGGTTGTAGTAAACGTTCGGTTATAGGACAGACCTAACAGCTAAAGATGTGGGCATCACACAGAAGCACATTGGTCCTCACTACCTATCTCATGGGACATGGGAAGGGTCGAGAATCGTCCCATCGTCAAAAAACACCTTATTTCTACCTGATATCTAGACAACATTATTAAACATAGATTTTAACTTACCACCTGACACTCACTAGAAACCCGTTTTATAATCTTACAATTAGCCGGAGTCTGTCTGGCCTGGGAGATTCGGCGAGATAACCCGTAGATATGTAAGATCACGAATGCCGGCCAATAAGCGCCCGATCCCTTCTAGGCGGACCAATCTGTCGGATACGCAACTGCGCCGCAAGGGCTGGACTTCAGAGGGCTTCGATCTTCGCAAGAGCTATTTCGTATCTAACCTAATTCTACAGATGCCTAATCACGTATCGTCGAAACTATGGACGCTGTACACTTCGATATGTCTTTACTCTCAAGTCCTCCCCTAACAAGCATGGACTTTCACGACTCTACCTTTTTTCAAACCAGCATTCCAGGAGCCCCTGTCCCAGAACTCCCGACACCAGCTGCGGTCCTTGAAGCAAGTAGCCATAGATCATCAGCGCGCGGTATCGTTCGGTTCGATGATCTAAACTTGTTTGTTAAGTATGGGCCGCCTTCATACGTGCGCGTAGAGGAGGCATTGGCGCTTCGTGCTGTCAACAAGGCCTTCCCGGACAAGCAAGTCCCTACTCCCGAGCTTTTCGGGTGGAGAGTAGATGGAGGCAAGATATTCATCTACATGGGCCTAGTCCAAGGCCCTACCGTTTCACGGAGCTGGGAAACGCTTACTCGGGAGGATAAGGAGTCAATTTGTGAACAACTTGGTCAAATCATAAAGCACCTACGACGAATCATACGTCCGTCGCATTTCCCTCTTGTAGGCAAGTTATAATCTACCTATCTAAAGCCGAATAAGGGTTCAAATTACTAACCCTCACCCTAGGCTCTATCAATGGCGGCCCTGTTCAAGACTTATATTTCCGCGGTAGTGACAAGAGAGGACCATTTTCCGATGTTAAAGCCTTTCACGATACACTACAAGCCGAGGCTATTCCTCGAATGCCTGTTTCAGAGAGGCCTCCAGACCCATATCGATGTCTTTTACCCGATACCGTGGACGTATATTTCACTCACGGGGATCTTAACCTGGGAAATATAATGTTATCTGACGCGCCAGGGCCTAAGAAAATCGTGGCGATCGTGGACTGGGAACAAGCGGGCTGGTATCCCGAGCATTGGGAATACTGTAAGTTACTCCTTGCTGAACCCTGTTCGGGGGAATGGCGTGTGGATGGATGGGCGGACAAAGTTGTAACACCTCGTGAGGAAGAGTTTGAGGCTTTTGGGGAGTATTGGCATTGGCGGCAACCATAATGCAACCAAGATGAGTACCCGGAAAGAAAATAGGTGGAAAAATAGGAGCTAAGGATGCTATAGGCAGGAAGTGGAGGATCTCTCATGTCAAAAAGAAAAACCCCCCTACTCGTTAAAGAACTTACATTTAAGAAGACGACACGGAGCATAAGCTATTATTGAAGCTATCTTATATCTAAGCAGTGTAGTACATCAACATAACATCCTACAATTAGAAGTAAAGTTATGGCAAGAGACAGCACCACGAATCAACATCTCCCCTCGAAGTACGATTTCAATCCACATCCTCATCATCTTCATCTCTCCGCGGTTCGAAATTCAACTGTCGAGTGTTAGCAACCAACCAACCAAATATACTCTCTAATTAAACTTACCGAATTCCCATTATACAACTGCGCGTCCCCACGCCCGTCCTCAGCGTCAGCAAACCCCCTGATCCGCGAGGCAGTCCTACCCGCAGCTAGATTCTGCAGCGGGACATCCTCGGGCGACGCAGTTCCACGACTACCTAGCAGGCCGGCGAGTCCGCCTAGCATTCCGACCAGGAACCCGTACCCGGAGCCGAAGAAGCCTAGGACGTACGCTAGGCTGCGCCAGACGAGGCCGCCAGAGACGCGTGCGAAAGCGGAGGAGTACTTGGCGTGAACTAGGACGAGAGTGGCCGAAGGGGCCAGGCCGAGAGATATTAGCGACTCTGTTTCCTCGGCGGGCTCGACGGCTTTGTTGGGAAGTGGCGTTAGGACAATTCGGAAGGTGTACGGCGCGTCGCTGTCGGTCCGGTCCTCGTCGATCCACTTGCGTACTTCATTACTAAGGGTCGCGTCGCTCTTGAAGCGCGATCGGATTGTCGAGCCGTCAAACAAGCGGACCTGTAAGTTGCAGTGGTCTCCTGAGCTGTTGGCTTGTCTTCGAGCGAGGGGAATGGCCGGGGTCTGGCTGCTGGAGGCTTCGGTATTGTTTGTCGTGTTTAGCAGTAGTCTTGCCTGTCTTTCCTTGGCTTCACGCTCTCTGCGCTCTCGCTTGTCATCTTCGATGCGCTTTAGGATGCGCTTTCTGTCCTCAGCTGCTCGGATCTTCTGCTGTCTGACTTCTTCTGCATAAGACCGCTCCGGTGTGTTGGTAGTAGAGGATTGGCCCTCGTTACTCTCACTAGCTCTGCGGCGCTCTTTTGCCTGGGCTTCTCGTTCTGCCTTGGATTTGGCTTCTTTGGCTTTAGCTTCCTTAGCTTTAGCTTCCTTAGCCTCCTTCACTTTCTTCTCGGCTTCTAGGCGCCTCGCTTCTTGTGAACTCTGCTCCTCCCGGGAAGGTTCTGCTGGTGCAGGAGAGGGCCTGGCTGGGATGTCATATTCATCATATAGATCGTCTAATACGTTACTCCTGGTGGGTACCGGGGCTTGAGCGGCCGGAGGTGGCTGACTTGAAGCCTGTCTTTCAGGGGCAGCATTTTGTTGGGTCTGAGCTGCTGACGCGGTGCTGAGAATCGCCTCGATTCTGCGAACAAGATCCTCCTTCGCCGTGCCACCTTGAATATACTCTTTTAGAGTCCCGTTCCTGAGGCGTTTGTAAGTAGCAATACTAAAAATGCTATTATGAGGCATGGGATGAGACATACTGAATGATGACTACCGTGGGCTTCTTCGGTATGGGAAATAGAGCTTCCAAAAAGCCAGCCTCTTCAGACCCTGCCTGTAGTCGCAAGGCCACAGCTTGATTTTTGAGTGGTGATTTTAGCTGTACAAAGTCAGTTAATAAATCCTCAATGTACATGCCTAGTTACTCACGGAATCGTTTGTGAGGAGCTCGTTTTCCCAAAGTTGACTCTCGTCTCCACTGTCTAGACTTATGTCAGTTTAACTAATATCATGTACCCTTTCAGCACAAGTGGCTTACCGGTGACAAATGCAAGCACCATCTTGGACTGTTGGATGGCGAGGGAGATGCCATCTTGTAGACTGCCTTGGAAGAATACACTTTCCGACATCCTCACTATTGAAAGTCTGAGATGGTAAAGAGAAAAGGGTGGCGAAAGATTTCGTGGATGGATAGGCACAGCGGCAGAGCGCAGGACTAGATGAGATTTGATATTCAATATTCAATATTCAATTAATAAGGTGCGTGTTTAGCCTGAGCGATTCATTCTTAGTGGAATTATCGGTATCTGACTGATCGCAGTATTGTAACCATCAATGAATTTAAACAGCTCTTTTCGCTGTTATCTAAGTTGAGCGTGTCTCTGATTATGGGAATGTCTTGTGAACAGGTTGAGTCGTCATAAGGTTGTTATTAAGTGCCACCACATGTGAGAAGCTGTTCAACATGTTGCAAGTACAAAGTACTTTACTTCGAGCTACGTACCTACACTTTACCTAAAACGACCTAGCTGCCTGCGGGTCCCTGCTCAAGCTTCGGGCTGCCGGCTCCGCAAAGCTCAATTGATTGGATCAACTTGCAGAATCCAGTCAATGGCCAATGAGAGAGCTTCATTTATTGAAGAAAACGAACGTCATTGTTGAAGACCTCGAGAATGAAGAGAAATAATTAGCATTAGCTAGCTTCGAAGATATAACATTCACTCCGTAATGAAGTCTCAAGGGTGGTTAACACCTCAAATACTCGCTCGGCGGGTCGAGAAAGCCCTCGAAGCCCAAGCCCGCGCCTCTAAACCCCAGAGCTATAGCACGCAAACCTCGCCATGTAGCATCCTCCGAACTTCCCACACCCCCAGCAGCCGGCCGCGACGCCCTCTCTTCAGCCGCCCCTTCTCACACACCCCCCGGTCCCAGCGCCAACCCGCCGAAGACCCAAACTTCACCTCGATCCTCGACAACCCGCCAGAACTAGTGCGCACAGGGCAGCGTCACGGGCCCGGCCTCATCATCCTCGCCATCATCCCCGTAACCGCGTTCCTGCTCGGGTCATGGCAAGTACAACGGCTAGGCTGGAAGACCGACCTAATCGCCAAGTTCGAGGACCGCATCGTGCGCGAACCGTTGCCGCTCCCGCCGCGCATCGACCCGGATGCTATCCACGACTTCGATTTCCGCCGGGTCACGGCGACGGGGCGCTACCGCCACGACCGCGAGATGCTGGTGGGCCCGCGCATGCGCGACGGCGAGCAGGGGTACATGGTTGTGACGCCGCTGGAGCGCGGGGGCGATGAGGGCGCGACGGTGTTGGTGAACCGCGGCTGGATATCCAAGAAGTTCCGCGATCAGCGGAGTAGGCCCGAGTCCCTATACACCGGTGAGGTTACTGTAGAGGGTCTACTGCGGGAGCCGTGGAAGAAGAATATGTTCACGCCGGATAATAGGCCTGATATAAATGAGTTTTATTTTCCTGATGTTAAGCAGATGGCTGCTTTAACGGGAAGCCAGCCTGTGTGGATCGAGCAGACTATGGGTACGTTTGAACATTCATGAACGCAGTGGATAGATTCTTCTGGCTATCGAGAATGCTTCCTTAGCTAATGTTTTTTATTCTTGCAGAGCCGGGTTTACTCCAGACTCTGGACATGGAATCTAAGGGTATTCCTATTGGTAGACCTGCTGAGGTCAACCTAAGGAATAACCACGCCCAGTACATCTTCACGTGGTACGATTCCTTCATTCTTCCGAACCCCCTCTTCTCGTGCTCGAACTAATAAACATACCCTAGGTATGGACTCGCAATAGCGACGTCGATAATGTTCTACATGGTGGTGAAGAAGCCTCCCACCGATATCTCACGCCGAGTGAGGATGAACAAGGAATGGTCGTAGACCCCCGTTTCGAGTGAATGCGCATTGCATCCGTTTAACAGAACCCCAGATAGAGGTTTGGCTCAAGTAACTTCCTCCTCTTCATCGACAGCCCCTTGTCGGACCTGTCGTTTTCGAGGAGCTTTCGTCGGTGCTGGGACTGACATTCGCATTTCTTGTAAGAGTTCCCTGGGCAGATACCGCTGCGCTAAGGAGAAGGGTGTAGTGGAGGTACTGGTCTGCCGTTGTCTACAACAAGAGGTTAGTAAATTTGTACCACTAGGAATAATCATATACCCTAGAATAAATATAGAACAACGTACCTTCGCATAAGCATCATCATGTCGCTCTCATCGATCGTCTTGCGGCCTGCGTGTCTTGCGTAGGCCGATAAATCGTCTCCCAGCTGCTCAAAATACCAGTCCGTCGCTTGCATAATAGCATCTACCGTATCTGAACTCAACTTCGCCTTGCTGACCCCTGCCGTCTTGGCGAGTGTTGTTGCCAGCCGCTTTACTACACCCACAGGCAGAGAAGGATACTCAATACCATGCCGCGAGATTTTCTTTCCGGGTTTTCTTCTCCCGATGCTTCTTTGTGCTGGATGGTCAACGATCCGGGAGACGATTGTGTCCTGTAACGCCTCGGTGTCATCAACATCATCAACATCATCTAGTCCAGGTGCATCCATCAAGTCACCCGGGCCGTCGTCATCGTCATCGTAGTGTTCGAAGCCAGGTAAGTCACTGGTCTCAACGTCTTCAGCTATCGTTGGATCTCGAGTAGGCGATTCAACCGGGGCCATAACAAAAGTACTCTCATTCCCGAGGTCGGGAATCTCAATTGGACCAAAATCATCCTGGCCTCCCATAGTCTGACGTCTTGTCTCTTCGTCCACACTAGAGTATGTTAGCACATCCTAACTCATACACAAAGATCAAAGTGCAATACCGTTCAAATATAGCCTCTTCGTCTAAGCCAATCCCTCCGGTGTCGTCGTCCAACGCTGGTGGGGGGAAGAACCCCGAATCGATACCAACGTCATTATCATCATCATCCCCTATTTCCGGCCCGACAAAGTCACTCATCCTCGCGCTGCCTAAACTACTCCTATCCAAGCGACCTAGTGGCGCTTCAGTCCATGCTCGACGAGGGAGCTCGATCGACTGCATTGTGTAGTTCTCATCATCCAGTATGCTAGACCGGGGAGGCTTCAACTCGCTATCGTCGTCATCGTCGCGATCTAAGGGTAACGAAAAACGGGGACGCTCAATAGGAAAGTCATCGTCATCGTCACCCTCCTCGAGGAGAGTCTGCAACGTCGATTCATTGCCGCGTAGAGGGGACGACGATGACGAGGAGACTACCGTTGACGTAGGTGCGAGAACCCGACTAAGATTCCGCAGAAGATCCCGTGGTGTTTCGCGCTCACGCTCGCGTGCAACACTGCGCCGCCGTCCCACCCGTCCTGGTGTGAATAGGGCTGCACGTCGCTGGTCTATAGCACGGATGGCGGCGCGGGCATGCGGCGTGTTAGGGTTTCGGCGGCCCGAAGCAGATAGACGGAGAGAAGAGGGCTCGGCGCTAATAGCGCGGCGGTTCGGGGTCGCGAGGGCTCGGGGAGTGCTGAGAGCTGCGAGACGGTTTTTATTGGGAGTCGGGTCCGTCATTTTGAATATGCCGATGTCTCTTCTATACCCAGCCGTCTATGTACCTCGTCGGATGTCAATGGCAAACGGAAGATTCGCTGTCTAACTCATGACAACTCGTTTCAATTTCTTGCTCTTTGCCAAATTCCGGCCAATTAGTCGCCCGTAAAAAATCTCGTGACTACCACTCCGATACCTAGGTCCTAGAAGTTGTCTAGTAAAATGACGTGTGCTCGGTTGCTACTAGACGCGGTTACTAGGAGCTTAGACGCGTCGTGGTTATTCAGCGATACAATTGTATTGTAGCTGCTGTAAAGTTGAAAGAACAGGGTGGGCACGTGGGGTTCTTCGCACTGTATGAGCTAGGTGGGACTTTATGCGCTAAGTGGCGTTAAAGTTCAGAGGGGTTCTAGCGCTATTGGGTTATCCTTGTTGGTTTTCATACTTCCCCTTGCCTACTGCCTTAGGTACCCAAACTGCCCTGACCCTGCTGCCGAAACTGTTCAAAGCAACTTTTCTTAACAGCGCAGTCTAGCCGAACCAGAATCTTCTGAAACGTCTTCGACTCGTTCGCCTCAGCTCTGAGATCTCACTAATTCCTTGTTTCTTTGGTTCTCCTACATAACCCTTTCGGCAAATCTATCAAGATGACGCCATGCTCTTGCGATATCGATGTTGGTGGAGTCATGGGTGCTTACATGTATTTTCCGTCTAGTACATGTGCAGCATGACAAGACAGACCGAAGTTGGAATAAACATTCCGTTTGCTCTGTAGACCGTGTCTTACCGATATCTCGTGCCGTAACCTACCCATTGGTGCTTTGATCATTATGACACTCCGACTATTAGGAGATCGTGGAGATGGGTTTAACTGTTTGAGCAAACAACCAAATATCAATAGCTTGCACATTTTTCAGTCGTTCGAGCTAGGGATACAAAGTACATAATGCCAATTTGAGACTACCTATGTACTTTCGGAATCATCTTGAACTAAACCCCTAAAGCTTCCATGCTTACATAGTACAGTAAAACCTCGCCATAACGAACCTACTCTATAGCGAATCCTCGCCTTAGCGAATTTTTTTTGTAAATCTTAGCGATTTGTATGTAAAATAACGAATAATTTCATATAACGAAATTCGTAAAATTTGGGGCTTAGTCACCACGTAATTCGTTATAAAAAGGTAAACTTTAACCTTTTTCAGGTAAACACTAAGCCGTTTTTGGCTATATTTCGTTATATTTCGCTGGAATTGGTCTAAGCTTCAAACTTGGAAATGCCCTTTACCATTTTGGGTAATAATGTGGCCTGTGCACTTACCTGCTCTAAAACGAAACCTTGCTATAACGAATTCGGACCCGTGTTTTTATTAATTCGTTATGGCGAGGTTTTACTGTAGAACGATTGGTCACAAACCGCAAAGCTACGGTGTTGACTGGATTAAAGAACTCCATAAAGTCAGCATAAATAAAATAGCTTAAAGACCATGACCTGAATCAGGTCCGTCGACTCGCCACAGATCCTCAATAGTCTGACGAATCATCCGGATGCATTGCATAGCTTCTAGTACGATACAAGAATGTTCCGGGGTAGAACCCCTGACACCCTCGACAAACGATAGGTTTTCGAATGCTCCTGAGGAGTTAGTGTTGTTACAAAAGACGCTTCAAGTAATGGCTCGGCTTATCCGTACGATATCGCGTTGGTGTTTCTCCAGCACGAAGGCCAACTCTTGGTTGATGTTTAGCTCGGAACATGCGCTTGCATTACACAGTTACCTACCTACCTACCTCCTAACCTGCCTAACCTGCCTAACCTGCCTAACCTATTGTATGCACCTCGATCTGCCCACTTGGCTACTGACCTGCATATACACATGCACATGCAAAGCGGGTAGTTGAACGGCAGTCAGATACATGTAGTTTGTGAAGATCGATCTAAATGAATAACCCTATAAGACAGGAGAACTTACATCACAGGTAGGTAAACGATATATAAATAAATACTTAACCTGACTGTTATTAACTAACAAAGTTATACTTCTGTTTTTTCGGTGTTTCGCTTACTCAACTTGTCTTATATTATTACATCGACCCTAAATCCCACTCTATTTTTGTAGTTGAAAACTCGATTCAAGGTTGATGATGACTATATCATGTACATCGGCTTAAAGCGGATTGAAGAATAGACCCAGCTGTATGGTTTGAGTGGTTTAAACTTCAGGAAAGAGCAACTGTACGAATATCCAATTGTTCAATACATATTGAACCAATGAAGACGCTTAGACCGTTTGAGCTTTCTGGCTTTCCAATACCCCTTGCCTTAGTGTACCTACCTACCCAGGTAAGTGCCTTACCCAGGCTCCATAGTAGATACGGATACGTACCTAGGTACCTCGATAGGCAAATGTTGCTATCAAGCTACATGTACTTACATACTGGAGACGACTCCTCCACACCTTCAACAACTTTTTCCGACTGGGCTGATAACTTCCGAATTATAGGGGTTCAAATTGATTGCGGCGCCGTTTCTCTCAGATCACATCTCACATTAGGTCTCTAATATCTTTTCCAATATCGAATGATAAATCTTCTTCCACTCTATTTTTTTGATCCGATTCGGTACGCGCCGCTGATTGTAACTTCTTCAGCAAAAAAGGGACGGCCAGCCTCTTATTATTGTAGGTAGTCAATATTTCTTCCTTTGTTCCTTTTGGACGCCCCAAGAAACCCCCAACCGCCACCCATTATCGTCTCATTCTGCCCCATCCATTAACTGTAACATTACCACATTACATACCACATTACCCTTCGTCCCCCATCCGCCAGTCTTACACCGTCTAGTTGTCCTCATTGCTTCCTTCTTCGCTTCTCATCTTCCAAGCTTTAGGTAGCACGCGCTTTCGAATCCATCTAAGAGAAGGAGCTCTAAAAGTAAGAGAAAAATTAACTCTTGTCCCTTCGCCGCCACACCTATTCTACCTTATCCAATTCCATCTTCGGGGCGTTCGCGCCACCACCCACCTAGATCATCAAGCACCAAGCACCAAGCACCAAGCACCAAGCACCAAGTGCCTTCGAATCAAGGTCACCGTTGTGTGTCTCTGAAAAGGGTCCCACACCCCCCCTAGCACATACCTAGTACATTTCAAGCTCCAGCATCCCTATCGGGGCACCCTATCCCAGCTTACCTACCCTATCAGGACTGCTCAACCAGCTATCGTTCCAGCCTGCGAACCGTGCTTAAGAAGTACAGTACGGTCCAGTCCTACGATACTGGGAACGTAGCGCCGTGCTCCATACTGCCCATACTGCCCATACATACCTCTGCCAGCTTGCCCACCACCTCCTGCGATCTGCGGCACCACACCCTTCCGACCCTGTGTCAAAACATTTCTAACCCTTATGCAACGCAGCTCCCTTCTACACCTCTTCTACTTCTACATAGTCACATAGTCGTGTTTGCCGGCAGGTCCTTCCAGAATAATTTCGGTACTATAATCAAGATATCTTCATCAAATACTAACACCGCTGGTTTCTTTAGCTGCCGACTATTAAGCCCCGGTCCCTTGCTGGTTAATCACATTTAACGTATCGAAATCGCCAATCATGGCTGCCCCTGGTGTTCAATCATTGAAGGTACGTCCGCCACGTCGCTCCAAGTGAATACCGCATCATGAAGCAAGTATACTAATGCGAGATTGCCCTGCAGTGCGTCGTTACGGGTGACGGTGCTGTCGGAAAGGTCCGTCTATTCCAACCTTAGCCATTGTCGACCGAGTCTAGCCATGTTCCAAATCTAACATCGATGTCAGACATGTCTTCTCATTTCATACACAACGAATGCCTTCCCCGGTGAATATATACCCACGGTGTTAGTAGAACTTGGTCTTTGTCCCATTCTAAATTGTATACTAATGTCACATTCAGTTTCGACAACTACTCGGCAAGCGTGATGGTTGATGGCAAGCCTATCAGCTTAGGACTATGGGATACTGCTGGTCAGGAAGATTACGATAGATTGCGACCGCTGTCCTATCCTCAAACCGATGTTTTCTTAATCTGCTTCTCCATCGTGAGCCCGCCTTCGTTTGATAACGTAAAGGCTAAGGTACGTGAACAGCGGGAAAGCACCGAAAGCACCTAATCGGTCTAGTCAATTGCTCTGGATTAAGCAACTAACTTAGCTCAGTGGTATCCCGAAATTGATCACCATGCGCCAAACATTCCCATCATCCTAGTTGGGACCAAATTGGATCTTCGAGAGGACCCTGCCACCCTGGAAAGCCTCCGATCCAAGAGGATGGAGCCGGTGTCGTACGACCAAGCCCTGGTCTGCGCAAAAGAGATACGTGCCCATAAGTATCTTGAATGTTCGGCCCTCACTCAGCGGAACTTGAAGAGCGTATTCGACGAGGCTATTCGGTATGATAGATCACAATGGTTCCCCAGTGTTTAACCACATATTAATCTTATATACAGTGCCGTCCTAAACCCTCGGCCAGTCGCTACGAAAGGTGGATCAAAGAAGAGCAAGTGCACGATTCTATAAACGGCACATAGCAGCATATATCATTGCTTATGACATTTTGAGATTTGGTCGAGCGAGCCAGAAGGTTTTTCGAAACGATGATGGCGTTTTGGTGGACATATAGGAAAGACTACCATCCTCCACGAGGAACCGACGTATTCAGGCATCTTCGAGTTGACCGACTACCCATATTTCGCGTCCCCTCATTTTGAAATCTACATACCCAGACGTTTTTGGTGGCCGTTTTGTTGCAGGCTATTTATTCGACCAGAAGAGAATTAGGGGGAAAGGATCAAGTTGCAAAGTCGAAAGCCGTCAACGAGGAATCGGAAGCATACGTGAGCCTGCGAGTACCGTTATTTTTTAAAAGAGTTCTGGCACGCTGCCATCCTGTTTGCTCCTTGCCATCTTGGCTTCCGTCGGGATTGGACATACAGGTAAACTGGGTTTAAATATTTCTGCATGGAAATCACCCTTCGAACAACTAGACGGCAGCAAGAGTCACAATTCCCCACATATAGCATATTCAACTCGCCTTTTCACAATTCTGTAGATAGCATATTTGCGAGAAGAATCTAAATTTCACGGCGTGTCTCCCCAAACTTGATGTCATTTTTTCGTTTCCTATACGTGAACGCCTAAGTTGCTTTGCAGAGCATGTGATTAAGATGAAATGAATACATTGACAGAAAAGCTACTGTCTAGGGTATCACGACCCAGCTCCAGGGACCCTCCCACGTCGGCTCGGGTGGATAGCATCCTCGACGCCGCCGCCACCAGCCTTCTCGCCCCCATTCTGCCCCTTCCCCTTCTCCTTCTCGGCCTTAGCCTTGGCTTCCTCCTGCGCCCTCCGCGCGCGCTCCTCATTCAGCTTCTCATTCTTAGCGCGGATCTTCTCCTTGCGATGGGAAGTATTCCCGCCGCCGCCAGCCGTCAGCTCGACGTTGATGCGGCGCTCCTCGGTCCTGCCGGGCTTGCCCGAGGGGCAGGTAAAGGTGGTGTGGTGCATCGTTTTCAGGCAGGATTTCATGTGGTCGTAGCGCGCGAACTCGACGAAGGCGATGCCGCGGGATTTGCCGGTGCGGGGGTCGTGGAGGAGGCGCACCGAGGTCGGGTGCACGGCGGAGAAGTGCGTTGTTATTTGCTCCGGGGTCGCGGAGAAGGGAAGGTTGCCGACGAAGACTATGAAGCGGACTTTTTTGCCTTGGGGAGGTTCTTCGGGGGTGGCTTCTTCTTCGTCGTTGGTGGTGGTGGTGGTAGCTGCGGCGGCGGCGGCGGTGGTGGTGCTGTCTACAGGCTCGGCGTCTGTGGGTTCTTGGGGGGCGTTGGCTTTGGACTCGGACTTGTCTTTGCTTTTGCTTTTGCTCTTGGACTTGGATTTCTTGTCTTTTTTGTCCTTCTTGCTGCTCTTCTTGGAACTTTCCTTGGTCTCCTCTTTGCTCTCGTCGTCGCTCTTGGGCTCTACGGCGGGGAGAGGAGCTTCGTCCATGGGAGTGTCCTCGGGCGAGTCATGGGCTTCAAGAGCCGCGTCGTCTGCGGTGGCATCATCTTCGTCTTCGGCAGAGGGAACGTGCTTGCGCTCCTTGTCTTTCTTGGATGAGGACTTCTTGCTCTTCTTTTCCTTTTTACTCTTCTTGGACTTCTTGTCTGCGACGGAGTCCGCATCGCTTAGGCGTCTTCGCTTCTTGCCCGTGTTGTCGCTGCTCATAGCGGTGCTGGTCGTGGGGTCTTCTTCTGACTTGCGCTTTTTGGAGGGCATCTTGTCTACAATTCCCTGTGAGGGATGCAGCTCAATAAAATAACTGAAGGTGTTTAGGAATTGTACACTAGGCTTGGTAAACAAGAATATCGCAAGAATAACTATGTCAAATCTTTCAGATGATCTAAGTTGTTGAGGGTGGTGGGTAGCTCTTTAGTACAGTTGAGATTCACAAGCGCGATACAATCCAGACAGAAAATTTTAGTGGGACCTGCAACTAGCTCGGCAGGTGGAGCTAGCGTCAACTGAGTACATAGATTAGGTACTTTCATATTTTCTAGATGCCTATATTCTCTTAATGCATTAATGCTTAGTCGAATGTCTTTATAGACACATATCACATTAAGCAAAGGTTCCCTTCACCCCTCCATGAACAATATCGTTTGACATCAACCCGAAGCCTTATTCTTTCATCCCGTGAATCAAATTACTACTTGCTCCAGGGTCATTTCTCCCCAACATAATATATTATTAACTAACTTTATGCTGCCTCATAGCAATTGGTTTATTTGAAGCCGCTATTCATGGTCGAACAGCCTTGTAAAATAATCCAAACCCAGCACCACATACGCAGCTTCTAATAGTCTTGTCAACTTATTCTCAAAGTACTTGATCAAGTAATGAATCAAGTCGCTGTAACTTGTAGCCTCGTAGCTTATACCGAAGCCAAACCTCTTATAAAGGCTTGAATCTTATAATGAACAAGGCTATCAGCCTTGGACCTGGATTAGACCCTTATACTGAATCTAATGCCATGGTCTAGGTGATGCTATAATAGATGAAAGGAATGACTTGTATTCAATGTGGTTAAAGCTATGTAAAATGGGTGTGTGCGACCATGAGGGGTACTTATACTAGGAATCCTGATAAGATAAGGTCACATGACTAGATAAGGTCATCTGATCATCTGATCAGATAAGTCATCTAATACACGGCCCTTGTTCAATAATGTCAGCACACTGTCTTACTTAGCTAGTATCAGGTAATTCAACATTATGCCGTCATACCGGACTCCAGCATTTCTATAACACAGCTCGGTCTAAGCTATCTGAAGGTTTTGGAAATTTAAAAATACCATGAAACCAGGCGCAATGGACCACGGTTTCTTACTTGTTAAAGATAATGCAATCGAGATACATATTTGAACCGGACAGAACATATCGTTCATCTTAAACTCAACCATACCTACGTCCTAGCTTAGGTGTCAATCACCTTATTAAATATAACAGGAACAATACAGCTAGTGATCGAGGCAAAATATCACATTTTAACTCTTGCTTTTAAGGCCGTGTCTGACTGCATTTGCGAAAGATTGTCAGTTCAAGGCCAATGTATCCGGTAGGACGAGTCATTATGCAAAACATAAAAACATTTTATGGAGTTATCCAGTGTCAATGTTCTGATTGGTAGTAAAATATATGTGCTACCTAACTCATGCATGATTAGGTGTCAACGCTTAGTGCGACAAAAAAGCGACCACCGTGGGACTCGAACCCACAATCTTCACCATATTCCATAATACCGGAAAGTGACGCGATACCATTTCGCCAGACGGCCTTTTTCTTATACAAGGATTGTCAATGCAAAAAGTTTTGTCTAAATCAATTGAAGAAGTCTAGCGAGGAGAGACTCAAAAAGCTACCCAGATGCTATTTGTTCAATATACCAGCCTAGTAAATCACAGACTGCTTGAGAAATATTTCCACTATTAGCTCAAGACCTAAATTAAAACTTTTTTTTAGATTTACTGGAATTATGTATGACATTGAAGCTTGGCCAATTCGCTTCAAGTTCCAATCCACCAGTTTAGTCATTTTGCAAGCTGATAGCCATGCATTCAAACAGGTAGCCATCACTTTCAAATTGAGCTACAAACTAAGTCCGTGAGGATATTAAATAATATCAAGTTCAAGGCTACTGAATGATCTGATTTTAAGATCCTTCCGCCTACACAGATCATTCTTAATCACTGGCCAACTACCAATTCAGATTCAATATGAATAAGTACTGGTATGGAAGAGGGAAGTATCGGCTACCATGCACATCATGTCGTTCATAGTATACAGGTCTTGATATTATTCAGTACTATTCAACCCATTAGAAGCTTAAATACAATGTATATATAAACGTCAAAATGAGCATGTGGATGTTTAGATATAGCCGAAAAAAGGGGGGAGGTGTTGTCTTTTAGCTACACAAATAGGAGAGCAACATTTTTGAAATATTTCTATACTTGATACCTATAGCAAACCCATAAGTTCTCCTACTGAAGAATGAATTACCTAAAATACATATTCATTTGCGGGCGTTGATACCTGGGTACTTCGAATGTGTATTTTGGCAAGAGACGATACTTGCTTGCCAACTCAAGCAGTCACGACTCGATATGAATTTATTGTTTTACTTTCCCGGTTTGCTATGCACTAGAGCTAAGCTTCCTGATTTGGGTACTCGAAAGTTCCTACATGCGTAAATTTGATAAAGGCAAGGCGCACTTGCCCCAGCCATAGAATAGAGGACCTACTACTTAGGCGACGAAGTTGTGCACCTCTCCCGTCTCCTTTTTTCACACTACAACACAAAATCAGATTCCTCAACACGTCTCTCTCTTTTTTGGATTGCCAAATATCAACATTCGTTTCTTCGGATTGATCTTCTTGGTGATCATCCTTACTGTCTTTAGTCATTCGCTTTATAGGATTTACGGAATCTAGAAAAGCAGAAAACCCGTAGAAAAAAAGACACATAACGCGACATAAATCACTCTCTCTTCGACTACTCTCTATTTCGATTACCGAGCAATAAGACCCGATGATGTTTGCAAAGTTCCTTTTTGCACGGATTTTCCTTGCAAACCTATTGCATCTTGCTGTCGCAGTTAGCAACGGCACGATTTCTAGCTCATCAACTGGACCGCCCAGTAAGTCTTCCTTCAGCGTCCCTGCTAGTTTTTCACAGTATATTAAGCTAATACAATCTCAGGTTGTGCCTCCCGTTGCATGGTAGACAGCATGTTTGCGACGCAGTGCCTGGACACAAGGTGTCTCTGCAACGAGAAAGACTACCAGAAGGTCTGTCGTCTCTCCTTGCAACAGTTCCTTACCACGTAACTAACTCTTTTTATATAGTCCTTATTCCAGTGTCTCTATTCCCAATGCGACTCGAATAATTACGGCCCGGCTCTTAGCCATTCGATCTTGCTTTGTATGAGCTTCGGCGCCGAGATTTATATGGCTGCTCCCGGTAGAGTTGATGACGAACTCCTACGGTCTCGCGAAGAAGATTATCTTGCCGGCCGAGAAGTCAAAGAAGTTCCACATCTCCAACTAAGACAAGAAAGCATTGCCGGCATAGGAACGACCATAACTGTTACTGCCACCGTTACAGACTTCATTACGGTGTCTTATTCCCTTATCACCTACACCTCGAACCATCTAACTCCTAGTCCATTCCTAGAGACGTCGCAAGCAGCGGAAGTAACAGCCACCTCATCCAGCCGACCTTGGGTGATACCTGTATCCGAAGCAACTGAAGGGGCTCGGTCAAGACCATCTTTCTTCGGGCTGGTCTTGTGGATTGCATTTATTATCATGCTCGATTACTGGATGGACATGAGCAGTCACTAGAGCTAGATGAGCATATCTCCATTGTCGATTTTATTTACAACGCGGGTATGGAAATTTGCTATTAGAAGAGGGGCATGAATGTTATTAGGGTGCAGATGAACACCCATGTAAGCTTAGCCATGCTGATAATTGTCCATACAATTAAATATCACGATCCCATTCATCCGGCTCTTAATTGCCTGATGATAATTAGCACCGAACCTATCTGGGCTTGCTACAATCACATATTGCTTTGTATGTAGGGCACGAAATGCGATCGGTCTCTCATAATATAACGTATCTCACGGGGGAACCCTCTATTCGGTGGGTTAATCTATGTGTAATTACTAACGAAAGACTCATCGATCTGCGGGGTATCATATGTTGACTGCCTTCCTCCACTCTCGTGAGATTACAAAGAATACGTTTGAATAGGTATCTTTGGCAACTCAAGTTTACCAACTAACTGACGCCATACACGCCTGCTCAGTAGAAAAGCAGCTGTAGGGGCTTCTCAGGATCGGCATACCTCTCCTTGAACTCTTGGCGGGCCAGCCAACGGGCTAGTGGTAACATGGTCTCCTTCATATCCATGACGCCGCGTTTCTTCTGATCAATATGCGAGGCATCTACAACCAGGCGCTCGAGTTTGCTTAGGTTTAAGGCGGCTACATGTCTGTTAGACCTGCGAAAAGGACACACGTAGGGGAAGACGGGAAGCGAGACTCACAGTTATCGACTAGGTCGGATAATCGAACGGGAGTGCCTACTGCGACACCCGTGCGGTGCTTCTGGAGGAATTGCACGCTTTCCTCGATTTTGATGTGCTTTGCGAACTGAGGATGGGAGTTAGCTGAGATAGCCCCTGAATTGGCCTAGATGTGTTCTACGTACCAATTTTGCGACTGCGTTGTTTTTCGATTGGTATTTTCGGACGGATCTATGCTTTGTGAGTACTTATAATGCTAGGATTAGGGGAATAAGAATAGGATAGAAAGAGGGACGTACCTCACAAGATCTGCGGCTCTCAGACCAGCGCCGGTGACGATGATGGTGTGTGGTGCGCCGTTTTCCTTGGGTGCTTCTCCTAGTTTCTTTGGGTCTGCGAATTGCTCTAAGAACTGTGGTAGATTCTCGAGATTCCTCGTCTCTTGGAAAGACGTGGTGTCTGTGATGTAGTTTGCTATGATTGGCGTATTAGTGTCCGTATGCCTTCGATAAGATGTGGGATGAATTAAGCATACGTGATATGTCCAACTGGCTGAGCTCGACTGGTTTTAATTCCGTTCCGAATCTCCTGATTTTCTTGGAATAGTGGTCTGCGAGGAGTAGACTGTCAATCATGGATATCTTCTTGTTCACACCGGCTTCTAGGTCGAGGTATTCCTCTTCTTCCTCATAAGCTTGCTTTCTTCGTTTACGGGAAGTAATTTCGTCGTTGCGAGGGCGTTTCTTGGACTTGGCTTTTGAGACTGGGGGTTGCTGCCTCTGAACTTGAGTCTCGGCCATGATTGACACCTATTTGTGTGTTTTGGATTATGGATTTACGTGTGAAGTATAGATG